TTAAGTTTGCTTACATCTCTCATTTTGAGTTGTACTTCTGAAGACAAGCTGCTATTTGGTTTATGTGTACACATGTTCTTAAATTTTTAGACATGTTTCAGCTCTTATTTTGTCAGATTGATTTGGAGGGAAATGAAAAGTATGAAATCCTAGGAAATCCACAAGGACTACGAATGCATTTTCCATCTGAATTTGTATATTTACAAATACAGACAGATCTGCATTTGCTGGCTGTTTTAAATACTGTGGCTTGTGGTTTCATGTTTTTTCATTATATAGAGCAAGGTAAAGATTTATACTCTTCATACTATAATAAATTTAAATATCTCAGGACTCTACATCTAGCCTAAAGGCTTTCACGTCTCTTTTTTTATTTTTTCAAGTGTTCGCAACTGAAAAGGATAGAATCTTACTAATTACTAGTAGTGAATAAAATTATTTGAAAACTTCAGCTTTAGTGATACAGACCTGGATTTTAGTGGGAGGAGAGAGAGATGGGGAAAAAAATAAGAGTGTCAGTATTGATTTTAGAATTGGCTAGGTGCTAAGTGCCAATTTTGTGTTTTTTTTCAATCATGTTGGCCTTCAGTCTGCACAGGCACAGATGAGACTGACAGATGAGATGGATTCTGCCAGTGCATTGTATGTTCTATGTACTGTCTTTAAAGTCCTTTCAACTTTTTTTTTTATCCTCTCCTCTTGGTACAAACACTTGATTTAAATTTATAAAATTCCATTATGAAAAGTTTTTCTAGGAAAGTTTTCAAAGTAAGTTTGACCTCTTTTCAGTGGATTGTTGGGAACAGTCACATTGATCATAATCCTAGACTAAACAGGAAACAATATAGTATAAAATTGTACTGGAATTTATGTAAAGAACTGCATAAAAGGAATAAAATTAAGCACTGTCTTTGCCAGTGATTCTCCCTGCCACCTAAGATAAAGAACATTTCAGAAGCCTGGCTTCTCTCTTGATATAATTCACTTGAGTATTTCAGTAATTATGTTTAAGGAGTCAGACAGGTTAGAATTAAGTGTAAAAGTAATAGCCAACCTTCCAAGTAATCATCATATATACTTCTAATGTATTTCCAAGTGTTTATTTTCTCTATAAAAACTCCATTACTATGATATTTTGGCCTAAATTAGTTAATACTTTTTCATGTTTTGACCTAAATATGCTAGATCAGGTTAGAACTGATGGAGTGGTAGTTGTTACAAAGCTGTTGCAGTGATAACCTCTACTCAGGACAGACTACTGAGTGAATGAGCCTTTCAGCAACTTAATTCCCTAAATTATAGGCTGGAGTAATAGAATGCGTCAGAAATTTTTTGGTTATAATGAAAAGGAGCAAGAATCTATAGTACCAGACTGATTATTTTATCCTTCTCAAGAAGTGCAGGATTTTGCATTTGAAGTTCTTGTTAAGCTGAGATACTAAGCATGGTTAGGATACTAGAAAAAATTCCTAGCTGCAGAAATACTTGGTCTTCCGCTCATACGAGAAGGGAGACATGGTCTGCACACTGGCAAGATTAAAATGTAAATGAGGGTGTATTACTGGGAAATTAAGAAAAAACATTCAGGGGTTATGGAAAAAAGGAAATATATTTATGTATTCAAAAAGTGCTGAATTCGCGTACAGTCAAACTCTCTGCTTCTTCCTTATTTCCATATTTCTTTTAGTGTTGCTGTGACAAGATCCAGAGATGTACCATCCTTTGGACCACCTATTCCAAAAGGCGTCACATTTCCTAAGTCAAACGTGTTCAGGGACTTCTTACTAGCCAAAGTCATTAATGCAGAGAATGCTGCTCATAAATCAGAAAAGTTTCGTGCAATGGCCACCAGGACCCGTCAAGAATACTTGAAAGACTTGGCAGAGAAGAATGTCACCAACACACCTATTGACCCTTCTGGCAAATTCCCATTCATCTCACTTGCTTCAAAAAAGAAAGAAAAGTCCAAGCCTTATCCAGGAGCAGAGATCTATAGTTCTGGTGCTATCGTGTGGAGTGTCCATGCAAAAGACTACAGCAAGGGTATGGAAATAGACTGTCTCCTAGGTGTCTCTAATGAGTTTGTAGTCCTCATTGAACAGGACACAAAAAGTGTGGTGTTTAATTGCTCCTGTCGAGATGTAATAGGTTGGACTTCAACAGACACAAATATAAAAATATTCTATGAGAGAGGTGAATGCGTTTCGTTGGAGAGCTTCATCAGCAACATTGATGACATCAAAGAGATCGTCAAAAGGCTGGAGGTTAGAATGTGTTCTCTTGTTTGCTTCCTTTTTCCTTTCTCATCTCACCCCACCACGAACGCTTCAGAGTTGCATCAGCGTTTGGGATGCCTGAAACAGTCCTATTTGATAATTGTTAAATCTATGCAGACCTTCTTCCTTTTATTTCTCAAAATCCCTTACTGATCTGATATTAGTTTATCAGCCAACATCAACTGGCTCTGTCAATTGTCTCCGTATTTAAAAAAAACAAAACAAAAAAACCAGGGCCTTCACATGCATAAATTGATCCTGCACAATAGATACTGATGTCATCATTTTTCTTTTGTAGGTTTTTCCTTATTTTCTCCGGCTTATAAACTTGTTGAAACTTGTTTCAAATGAAACTAATACCTTTGTCTTATTAATGTGCTAGCAGGGTGCAGTCCTAATTCATATTGCAAGCTTAAGATATTCTCTCAATATGATATGATAAAATAAAAATGCAGTGAATCATAGTGTCTTTATATAAAACATCTGTCTATGCTCATTTTTTATCCAATTAAGTCATGAAAGAATGTGTTATATTTCACTGTCTTTCCTTTAACTTCACAGCTTAGCTGTATAATTACCAGGAAAAAGGGAAAAATATGTCCTGTTGAATTATTCTTGACTGTATTTGTGTTCATGGTAGTCAGACAAGTTGGCATGGATTACAGTTTACTATGTCTAGTAGCTTATGCCACTACATTATTATTCTGTTAGAAAGTAACTTGCAGTTTACTAAAACAGATGGAAATCATAGAATCATAGAATGGCCTGGGTTGAAAAGGACCACAGTGATCACTGAGCTATGTGCAGGGTCACCAACCACCAGACCAGGCTGCCAGAGCCACATCCAGCTTGGCCTTGAATGCCTCCAGGGATGGGGCATCCACAACCTCCTTGGGCAACCTGTTCCAGTGTGTCACAACCTCTGTGTGAAAAACTTCCTCCTAATATCTAACCTAACACCCCCCTCCCCTCAGTTTAAGACCATTCCCCCTTGTCCTATCACATATAGCATGGTTGTTTAGTTACCAAAATGTATAAGATAAAATAGAGGCACTTGTCTAAATCCATGTTTTATCTGTTGCGATCCGCTTTGGTTTTTTTTCCTAAAATTCCTGTGGTTTTGGTAAAAACTTAAGGGCAAAACATGGATTACCAGACTCTACTGAAAATGCCAATTTGAGTGATGAGATCATTTCACTTGATTGTGTACCCAGGACTTAGATATAGATTTTCCCTTATTGTGTCCTATTAATGTCCTAATCATTTAATTTCCTGTTTCAATCCACAGCTCATGACTAAGGGATGTGAAACAGTGGAGATGACTCTGCGTAGGAATGGTTTGGGTCAGCTTGGCTTCCATGTAAACTATGAAGGCATTGTGGCAGATGTTGAGCCCTATGGGTATGCGTGGCAGGCAGGACTGCGACAGGGCAGCAGGCTGGTGGAAATTTGTAAGGTGGCTGTAGCCACTCTGAGCCATGAGCAAATGATTGATCTTCTGAGGACATCGGTAACGGTGAAGGTTGTCATTGTCCCTCCATATGAGGACTGCACACCACGCAGGTACTGTGTGATAACTACCTTTGGTCAGAAATTATATTTTGACTTTGGGGATGGTGGAGGTGGGGGGAAATGCTGGAGAATAAGTGTTAACCTTCAGAAACCACTGCATGGTTATAAGATAACATCCAGAGTTGTAGGGCTAAAGAAAAGCTAAGGAAAATTTCTAACATTCGGGCCCTGCAAAATATTTATTACATGCTGCTGCTTAATAAAATACCAAAATAAGCTTACATATCCTTTAAGCTATATGTGGAAATCAAACAACATATAGAGAACTGTGCATTTATATGCATCAAAAATAATTGTACATTTCAGTGTCTCTGGATGTAGTTCTGGAAAGCTATGAATGGGCATATAGTTTTCTCCTTTAATGAATAAGTTAGGTCCTAGAGTCTATCAAATCTATGGATCTGAGCGAAGAAATTCCTCTAAATTGCAATTTTTTTTCACTCCACAGAAGATCTTGCTGCATCTCTCTCACTTCCAATCCTTGTTAATCTTGAGGCTTGTATTTTTGCTCTTACAGGTTTTAAATGTAGTTTAGTCAGAAATAAACATTAACACAATTCCTAAATTGTTTATTATCTGCATTTTTCCAGAACTCATACTATCTAAAGTTTTTTTTGTAATCTTTTACTGGTCCCCTGAACTCTTCAATTGTCTGTAGTGTTCAACCACATTCCCAGCATCTTGTATTCTTGTAAATGCTATACAATTAAAATGGGATAATCTTTGATGAACTAAGTTTGCCCAGTGGCTAGCTCAAGATTTGTTAGGTTTGCCAAGAAAAATATGTACCATTACACAAGATCAATATGTTCCTTGCAGTCAGACAGTAGGTTTTACACTGTTGTGTTCTAATCAGGTAATATCTTCATAGGGACAGATCCTAAATCTTTTTATAGTTAGGAACATAAGCTAAACTTAAATGTACATTTATTACATTAATACAAATATATGTCTCTAAGCAAAGACATTATATTTACATAAACACTGGAAGAATCCATATTTGTTTTGCTGTGAGCCATTCTAAACCCTGTTGTAACTGGTAGCAAACGGGAAAGAAGTTTTATTTGTCCCCTAGTTGTCAATGGAAAATTGAATACGTCAGGGATTAAAATGCACAGTGGCATAAGGTCACCCATGAGGTATTTGGAAAGCTTTTGTACAGTATTTAGTAGCCCAAGCAAATGGAATGTTCAGCTGCAATCATAGCAAAAGGATTAGAGCAGAAAAATCTGTGTGGAAAGCACAGATCCTATTATTTCTGAACTAAATTAAGTGCAGCCAAAAGCAGGCTTAGCATTCATGCATCCATATGCACAGCGGGAAGAGAAATTACCGCACTCTTAGAAATACTGTTCTCAGCAGTCATGGGTTTTGTTGTCTTGCAGTGACCGAGTGTTCATAGTAGTTTATTACCTAATTGTAAAATTTTTAAGAGTTATTGTTTATCCTGCTTGCTTTATCCAAAATCATTAAGATTTAGGAACTGTGTATTGAATTGGTGGTTATCCTACATGTATCACTGAAGATTTGGCTTAAATCTTTGCACAAAGCATTATCTCTTTGGCAGTCAATTTTTCTAAACTTACATCCCTCCACTGTGTCCTCTGGAAATCATTTAGTATTTCTACTACAGTAGCTTAGACAGACCATAACTAAAATGAAGATTGGTATAGTACATTCACATGAGAAGCAATTCCTATCCAAATAAATTGATTGATATAAGTTTGGAGAAAGAGCAGGGATGCAGTTAGATGAGATGACTTGCCAGCAGTCACGTATGCAAGGTTGGTAGCAGATTGAAAAAAACAAGCAAAACAAAAAACCCCACCCACTTCATAGAATCATAGAGTTGCTCGGGTTGGAAAAGACCTTAAAGATCATCAAATTTAACCACAACCTAACCAACTACCCTTTCTAACAACCCTCTGCTAAACCCTCCCTGAACACCACATGCAAACGGTTTTTAAATACATTCAGGGCTGGTGACTCAACCACTTCCCTGGGGAGCCTATTCCAGTGCTTTAACAACCCTTTCTGTAAAGAAGTGTTTCCTGATATCCAACCTAAACCTCCCTGGTGCTACTTGAGGCCATTTCCCCTCATCCTGTCACCAGTGAGAAGAGACCAACCCCACTCTCTCGGTAATCACCTTTCAGGTACTGGATTAAGGTCTCCCCTCAGCCTCCTTTTCCCAGACTAAACAGCCCCAGTTCCTTCAGTCTCTCCTTGTAGGGTATATTCTCCAAGCCCTTCACAAGCCTTTTTGCCCTTCTTTGGACCTGCTCCAGCACCTCAGTCCTTTCTGTACTGAGGTGCCCAAAACTGAACACAGCACTCGAAGCGAGGCCTCACGGGTGCTGAGTACAGGGGGAGGATGATTTCCCTGTCCTGCTCACCACACCATTCCTGATACAAGACAGGATGTCATTGGCTTTCTTGGCCATCTTGGTCAAGGTCATGTTTATTTTCCAAATCACTCTTCTTGCATCTTACATGAACTGTGTTAGCTTATGTCCTATCTTAGTCCAGTTTTTTGTGCTGCCCTGTTCATGTTTATCCTTAGGAAGGAGGGGACATCCTCTATTTTGGCATCTACAATTATTAACAAGTGTTTTATTTTCTACTAAGATAACTTTTGTGCAGTTTTTTTTTTTTTTGCTTTTGTAGCACAGTAATCAGATGAGCAGTAGCAAAGCTTGTTAAATACATGTTTATTAAAAGAAGTCTTGCATCTTCTCTTTCTTGTAATTGGCTCAGCTTCTGTCTTCAAAATTTTATCCTTGTGGACAGGATATATTTGTTTTGCTTTCTAGAACAATGTTTTTTTATAACAACACTTTGTTTTGTTGTCCTTTTTCTTTTCCAGAAGTTGTTCAGAAAACTACCGTATGCCAGTGATGGAATACAAAGTGAATGAAGGAATGTCATATGAATTCAAATTTCCCTTCAGAAATAATAACAAATGGCAGCGAAGTGCAAACAAAGGACAGGGACCTCATGTGGCTCAGGTACCATCCCAAGTTCAAAGTCCAGTGCCATCTAGGATTGGCTCAGGGAAAGGAGAAGGGAAAATGCCACCCCCAGAACGAGCAGCCAACATCCCACGAAGCATCTCTAGTGATGGGCGTCCATTGGAGAGCCGGAGGTACATATCTTCTTCACAAATTGCTTCTTATTGCTGTTCAGAATTCTATCTTGAAAAAAGCACAATCGATTTATCTAAGCATCTAAAGACTGCTTTTTTTCTTGTTTTTAATTAGTCAAAAGGCAATATGAATATGAGTGAAACATTAGCCAAAAGGAAATACGTTTGCTTGGCTTGACTAACCAGAAAAAGAAGTGCTCCTGGATTGATAGGATATGTTTCACTGCATTGAGTGATATTCTAAAATTCCTATATTTTTGTTCAGTGTTTAAGTGAGTGATGCCAGAGTTTTAGATCTAAATTTTCCTGAACCTCTGCATTTTAAAGAAGTGAATTAAAATTCATAGCTTGTTTATAGGCTTGGTGGAATAATCTAAAGCTCCTGAGGCAGAAATAGTATTTAACAGTGTTCAGTAAGGAAATACCATCCTGTGCAGAAGGCAGATTTATTGATTGGGACACTTTCAGACTTCTTAGGCTGAAGAACAGATTGTTTTAAGCTTGCATTTCTGTAGAGCATGGAATTTTTTGTTTGCTTTTTAAGAAAGCAAGCAATTATTTAGAAAGGTATCAGGCACATCCTGTCACAGTTTCAAATGAACTGTCATTGTTTTGCTTATCTGTACAAATCTGTTGCGTTTCTGCATTTACGAAGAGACTTGTTGAGGGAAATAAGCTCATAGCTCATGTTTTGGATAATTCCTTAAGAAAAAATAAAGTGGAAATAACATGCATAAAGTAGAAAATTTAGAGATGCAATGAAAGAAGGTCAAGCATTTTTTCGAATCAAGAAGAACTGAGGTTAATTAAAAAATTAAAAAAAAATCAACAGATGGTACAGCCAAGACCAGAAAACTACTAAGGTGAAATCATTTGAAACTTGTATGTGCCACTTGTTAATAAGTTGCCTTAGTTGGTAAAGACTTTTCTTGCTTAATTTTTCGTTGAATGTTTTCATACTTCTGCACTTAAACTCATTAGACAGTATGTCTCATGCTTCCCTACCCTTGCAGCTTTTTTATAAGCTCAATTGATGTGTGCTTAGAACTTGCATCATCAGAAAATCGGTAACTCTGAAATTATTGGTAATATGTTATATGCCTGGATATTGTGTGTGTGCATATATGTATGTGTTGTTTTTTAATTTTGCTGGTAAGGTTATTTGTGAGGGAGACTGCAAAAGCCAGTGAGGCACTGGACTTAGTTTTCTCTCTTATGGTATGTTTGGACCAAGATAAAAATTGCATGGCTGTGTGCCATATTTCCCTGTTAAAGTTGGAGACAAATAGGTGATGAATTTGAAGGAATGGGAGTAGGTCTGTTTTGTTTTGTTTTTGGTGGGGTGTGGTGTTTGTCTTTCTTTTCCTGCCTGTCCAGTGCTGTAGAATCTCACTCTGTAATTATGGGAGGCATAGTAATACCTGGGCAGAGTTTCAGGGAGTGGCAGGACATCAGATACAACTGAACTGCTGTTTTTTTTTCCAGAAGCTTCTGACGCTTCATGGCACTAACCAGAGAGTTTTGTCCAGAATCTTGAGTTGTTGCTTCCTTTCCTTGTGTGGAGGCGGGTGTGAGGCCCTGACTGTGCTGAGAGGTGTGGTATTATTAACTGTGCTTTTCTTGCACATAAAAATCCACATGGACAACACAACACCCCTAAAGCATCCAAGATTTATCCACTCACTGGATGCTTCTAGAGGGGAGTTCTGACCTAACGAATGTTTTGCAAAGGGAAGATTACATTTCCATATATTTTGTATTTGTTTCCAAAAATTGAAACTTAAACTTTCCATTTTTTCATTTTCAAAGCATGTAGCTGTTTTTATATTGTTGGGTTGTTTTCTTTTTTTTTTTGCTTCAGAAGGCGTTATAGTGGATTTTTTCATCCTGAAGCATATATTACCAAAGTAGCATTTTGTTTGGCAGGATTTTTTTTTTCTTTTTTTTTTTTTTTTTTTTTTTTTTTGGAATGCCGAAAAAATACATTTTATCTGTTTGCTCTAAACATGTTAATCTTGGCTGGATCAAGTCTGAATATAACAGCAGCTGCATGAGGTTAATGTGTTGCCAGTTAAAGTGAATAAATATACTGTTACATCATTTTAAAGGAATAGGGAATAGGGAGGGAACAAACCAAACAGTAGGATTACTCTATTTGTCATTTTCTGCACAACAAAAGCATTGCATTTTAGAAAGCTCAGATATTTCCATTGTTATTGTGTAAAATGTCTGAAATGAACCGAGATTTTCATGGCTCTCTTACAATAGTGTGGTCCTTTTTGTGTTCCCTTTGGCATTGATCTCCAGTCATGCTCAGGGTAGGGCTGGCTCATTTTCTTGTCTCAACAGTCCACTATTGCCTTACTAGTGAGAGTCAAAGCTGAAGTTGTTACCAGCCTAACAGGAAGTAATTTTATTTTTATAAAACACCTTATCATTCTATTGGTTTTAACTTACTTTTGTCAACCATCTGTCGAGAACCCAGGAGAGAATGAGAGGAGTGTTATAGGTCCTTATTATGGCTCATTAGCAAAGCTGTGCAGATTGCCTCTCTTTCCTTACTACCATTAGGGCTTCACTTTCCAAAGGAAAGTGCTGCCTAATTGTCAGTGGGGCTGGAAATTTACCTGTGAGGACCAAAGTCATTAAGCAGTTTCAGAAATGAAGTACAGCTGTGGTCTAGATATCACTAGCTATCATTTCTGTTTCTTCAGTGCCAAGCCCTGTGTAAGACTTGCTGATGTCTGACTGATTTTAATGCTCGTTTTTTTTGAAATTGAAGGTGACGTACATGGTGCCTTGTTCCTGCCACTGACAGCACGTTGTTTATTGACTGCAGGTCAATCAAATAGAAGCACTGTAGTATTTCTGTTTTATCAGGCCTTACACGATTAAAGTGTAACGCTTTTTGAATTACCTGCTAGAAATATTTGACTGATGATCACTTCATACAACTGCAGTTTCTAAATACAGATACTTAGTGAAACAAATTTAGATTTTTGCCTGTTGTTTTTGCTTCAGCTCATTTTCTATGTTAAGTAAAAGCAGCATTATCAGTCCTGCAAACAGGAGGATTTCAGTTTTGTATCACATAAACCTGTTGGCATCATGAAAGACCTGCTATTGTAGGTGGAAGAGTAACTTACTTGACAATCCCTGATGGACAGCAGGTCAGTGTCTAACCTGCAGAGTACTTTTTGCCTTTACTGAATTGTTTTCATACGTGCAACTCATTTGCACAGACTTAAATTCTCACTAATCCTCATAGTGTCCTGCATACTTGAATGTAGTCATGAGTGACGTGCATGTTTGTAGTAGCAGGAAAAATAATTAAAGTTTATATATCTTAATATAAATATCTAATTTTACTGTAATATTAAGATTGAAAGATGTCATAATACATATACAATAAATTTCTTTCACATTAATTAGTCCACATGGGACACTGTGCAATCTATAGCCCAGAATAAATATCAGATTAAGACATGAAAGAAAGCAGCAACAAACCACATATATGAAGTCTACTCCATAAGTAATGCCTCCCACTTTATGTTGGCCCTCCGTGTCAGAGGTGGATGTTGGCAGTACGGCAGTAGAGGTTGAACCCTCCCACCAGTATTCCGTTTTGTTGCTGTGCTGTGATGGCAGCAGAGGGGCGGTCTGATAGAATGGCATCAGGCATGTAAATGTGTCTGAAGCAAAGGGGTGGAGTTCATTTTCTCCACGTGGAAAAAATGACACCCATTGACATTCAGTTGTTGAACATTTATGGAGACCAAGCAGTGGATGTGAGCACAGTGAGGCGGTGGGTGGTGCATTTCAGCAGAGGGATCAGCAACAGTGTGTCACCTCTGCTGACAGAGATTTTTACAAGTGCCGCATCCAAGCTCTTTGCTGGTGAACGTGCACAGCTAATGGTCATGACTATGCTGAAAACGTGTTTTGTAGCTGAGAACTTGCTCTATCAAGTCGTGTCACTGTGTTCTTTTGTATCTGTTTTAGTTACTGTCAAAATAAAGAGGTGGCATTACTTGCAGATCAACGACTTACATATATTTTTAAGTATACTAGAGATTGGAGAAGATGTAATTTTGGATTTACTTATTCCCTTTCCTCCCCTCCCCCCCACCCCACTATTTTGAATGTTTCATCCAATTGGCTTCCAGACTTTACTATGAGGAAAAAAAATATGGGAGGAAAGGTTATGAAATAGTGCTCGATGGTAATCTCTTCTTAATTAACTTACCATAAACTGAAATTAGTTTTAACTAAAACCTGACTCAAGAAACATTTAAAAAATGTGAAAACAAATGAGCAAAGCACCCTGGGGGACTTGAGTGTACCTCATAATGTGATTAAATGCTGCACTGGATGAAAGCTTAAGATTCTGACTTGAAAATACATGAGCACAGTCAATATTTCAAACCAAATAATGAACTGAATTATGGCATGACTGCAGTCAAGCAGTGGCCACGAAATTCCACAGTAGAGAAATATTGGAACAATGTTCATTAAGAGTAGTTTAATTCTAACTGAGGACTATGGAGTGCAGTTTGGCCCTGAAACTTCATCTTCTTCAAACAGTACTTGTTCATAGTTGGTGGCAGTAACTGTAATAGTTTATAGGCTAATGCCTGCAGATTCTAGCTTAAATGATTCCTATGTCATATAAAAAACCTAATTTACTGTTGATTAGTTTGTATCAGTAGCTTTTTTCCTAATACAAACAAGCAAGCCTCAGTGCTCATCTCATTACCCACTGAATGAACGTTGTCTAGCGCATGCATTTCCTTCCTCATAGGGTTTAGTGATTTCAAGTTTTCGTAACATCCTTCAAATGAAAATACAAATTAAAACGTGTTTTCTAGTGATGCTAGGATCTAAAACTGGATATAGCAGTGAAAAAGCAGAACTTTGTTATAATTATTATCTCTTCAGCCAAACTCACATTCCAGAAATTTCTGAGAAGTACCACGTTGTCTGTGATCAAGAGCTGGTCTCGTGGTTTGACAGTGGCCATTAGCAGGGACCAGGGAAAAGCATAAGAAATATTCTTGTGCTGTTGGCATAACTGTAAATAAAGATGACTTTGTACCAGATCCAGCAGTCTCCTGGTTATCTGTAGTTTAAGAATTTCCAGAGTTGGTTGCATACTGTAATTTAACAGCTGTGGGTGGTATCTGGGTGCCTTTACAGTTTACAGTATCTCCTATCCATACTTTTGTCATGAGGAATGATGAATAATCTTTTGTTTGTTTAATCTAACATAATTCACATTTGGGCAGACAACAGACAGAAATGATTTAAAAAAAAAAAAAGCAACATCTGAAGCCTGTTCAGTTTATTTGTACAGAAACTATTCTGTACATCCAGTCACTTTCTTGCCTCCCTTCATATCTTTCCTTGTTGTATTACATCTTTTCTGAAATGTGATAATCAAATTGTAGGAAAATATTCATGAAGGTACCCAGTGTGGTGTGAGAAATTACAATATGATGGCATAATTGTATTTTCTGTTTTATCTATCCCTTTCCAGACCGGCTGATGTCCTTTCTTTTTTTTTCCCCTTTCTAAACAATTTGTTTTCCTTTTTAACCTGAGAGCAGGCAGCCAATGTTTTCAGAGAAATGTTGCGTGCTTCAGTACAATTAGGGCTGTAAAATCAAGTTCTTGGAAAGTAATTGTGCCAGAATTAAGATTTGCTGTGCGATTTTATTCAAGCTCTTTATGTAACCATACTTTTTGATACTTTCCTTGATTAAATTACAAGGGTTTTTTTTTTTAGCAGAGAACATCTGCCTCATTCACTTCACACAGTTGAAGTGAAATTGAAGTGAAACTCATTAAAGAACAGCTATTTAATATTTTTCCTCTTCATTACTCCATCCTTTATTTACTGGATGGTTTTCAAATCCCACTGTAAAGATGCAATTATTAATTCCTCACTAAGCATTACAGTGGTGCCCATTATTGTAGTTCCTGAATGCTTCACACGTATTAATTAAACTGAATTTTCAAAACTCTTGTCTGAAAATAGATTTCTTTGGACCTCTTCAGATTAAGAACAAAGGTAGAGAGAAAAATTATGTTCTAATCATTTCTTATGTTCTATTTTGAGCCTCTCAAATTTGGAAGTGTGCCCAGCATTGTTAATATTTTATGTATTCAAATTAAAGCTTCAGCTGCTTTGGTAAGTTGTCGGCACAGAAGTAAATCAGGCCTCAGAATCAAATAAGGCCTTTGGGAAACTCGCAATTAGTGACAATGAATGAAAAATTGTCTTTAACAAATACACCAGTGATCATACTGGAATGCTGTAGCAAGTGTAAAATGAGAATTCAGTTTGTTAAGTCAGCATGGAAGTGCCTCTAATATAATGCCAGCCTTTCCCTTCTGTCAGCCTGCACTTCTGCATGGCTGAGCTGTGCAGTTCTTGTAGAAGTTGTTCAAGGACAAAATACAACCGTATGACTGCCGGGGGACCAGAGTATGATCTTATAATTAAAGAGTGACTTAGGCCACAGACACAAAGCGTGCTAGACTAACATTTTTCCTGTGACATTTATATTACGTACATATGCAAGCTGAAGACCTGAGAAAATTACAGCAAATTAAATTATTAAGAGCAAGATGGATGCTTTCAATGTCTTTGTCATACTAAACAAATGTATGCCCATCCCACTCATTGTTTCCACAAAAGATGATTTTCTTTCCATACACAGCAAAACTCAACCAGTCCTTTCAGGATGAAGTAGGTCTCTTAGAGCTAAATCATGCATGGTACAATCCCAGTTCAATTGACTGTAATTTAATTGTATCTTTTTAATGCAGCGGACGCTTGGCCTACATTTAAATTCAGTTATGGAACTCATGCACTTAACCATTTTGGAATTTCTTCTCAAATTTGTCTTTTAAAATAGATGATGGCTTCTTTTAGTTTGCTTTAATTATATATGAAAAACAAGCATAGAATGTCTTAACTACAGGGCTGTACTGCTAACAACACCCTTTTTGTCTTGGGAAGTGATTTTCATCAACAGATTTCAAATCAGCTTAAAAAGTCAATTTGAACAGATTTACTTTCATGTTCTTCTGACTTATTTGCTTGTTTCGTGTAAAAGGAAAGTCTTTCCCTATTGATGTTTTTCAGCAGTGCTTAGAGTTTACCAGTAAAATGTATTTCCATTTTAAGTAAATAGGATGTCCTTCCTAATTGGCTGTTTCTCGGTGCTGTTCAGATCACATTTATAACAATTTTGTTTGCCCTCGAGGTCTTTCAACTTTGTAAATGAGTTATAACTCCATCACACAATTCTGAAATCCTGACATTCCTTCTGAACATTGCTGTTGCTTCTGGGTAAGGCACAGGGGGTAAAGAAAAGGCACAGCTGATTCTGAAGTAAAAATGTAATCATTTTTTTGATAGAAAAAATAATTGTACAGGAATTATTGAAGGGTTTCCTTGCTGTTGATATTAAATTAAATGTATGTGCTTACATAGACTTGTGAATGCTATTGAAAGCACATATTTTTGTTGGCCGGATTGTTGTTTTTTTTTTTTTCTTTATAAAAGTGCCTCTGGGAAAATGAACGCACTGCTTCCCAAATTTTCAACTTTTGAACTGTTTACTTTACAATCAAATAATTTCAGAAATGTTGCTTGATAAATGTGAAATAAAGTAAATTCCTTTTGGTAGACTAGAAGGTAGGTAATTGCTTGAAGTGGTACTTGTGATGGTCAGGAGTTGAGTCATTCATTTCTTGTCTGGGAAAAAGTTACTGTTACTGATTAGTATTTGGTGAAATTGCAGTCAGGAAGTTGGGTTCTTGACTGTCCCATTGCTTTTTCTCCCTTTTTAAGATTTAGTTTGCTGTTTGTTTTTGGTTTTAATGGGTTTCAGTATACGTATACTGAAATATACACACAAATTCATAAGCTGGTGTGTGTCTTTTAAATTTATTTTCAGAAAAGTTTTTTGAATTTTAAAAGTACTTACAGTGAGTGTGGGTGAGAGTCTGTCACTTGTTTACAAATACAGATTAAGTGGGTAGACTAAGATCTTGTGAATCTCTGGGCCCAGTTGGTGTACTGAGACAGTTGGCTGTGTGTTTCTCTAGAGCTAATAAGCAGTTTTTAAGCAGTTTCTAATGTGTAGGTTGCAGGATTTTTTTTCCAAGTTAGAAAGAGGAAAGATTTGTATTCACAGTAAAATTTATTGTTCATGGATGGCATAATTTCAGTCGTCTTAGCTTGCTGCAGAAGTGCTAAATGACTTCAGTCACCGCTGAGTGGAACAAAAAACTTAATGGCAGCACTGAATTGAGTTGGGGCTTGGGAAACAAAATGCACAAAGCAGAAAATGATCTAGAAGAGACTTCAGCTGCAGAACAGGATATACAAGTAAATCATTATAAGCGTGTAGCTTCCAGCCCAAATGCATTTAGCCAATTTATTTGCTGCATTGTTTTTCCAGCAGAAGACTTCATAGAACTCGGGTCTGTACTTTCACTGACCTCTAATGTTTTATGAGAACATTAGGTTAGGGAGAATTTAAATATATTCATAAATAATATTACATTTTTAGACCTTTAACTTGAATGTGGACAAGTTTGGTGGCATAGGTGTGTAAGCTTTATACTCTGAGTTTGCACAGACAACTTTAAATTCCAGGTAAGAGTTTGTTCTGAAAAGCAGAAATAGATCATGGGAGAGGAATGTCATGCTTCGTTATTCCTTACAATCAATCTGCAAAAGCAATTCAAGACTTTAGAAAATGTGATGCGTTCCTAGTGTGTGCTGAGATCTCCTTCCCGTCACACACTTTCCTCTCTTCATTTGCTCCCCTACACCCACCTTTTGTTAGCTGATTTTCCTCAGTTTCCACAAGGAACAGATTTACAGTGACTCTTTCTGCTGTTTCCCTGATGCCATGTTCTTCGCTGATCTGACAGTTTGCATTAGATAGTCCATCATGGTTTGCATTATGCTACTGCTCTTTGAGTTGCTGATGTGACCCATTCCTCTGCTCTGAACAGGTTGTCTCCTGGTTCTGATGTCTACGTGACAGTTTCCTCCATTGCATTAGCACGGTCGCAGCAGTGTCGCAATTCTCCAAGCAACTTATCAACCTCAAGTGAGACAGGCTCTGCTGGGAGCACGTACAGACAAAAATCTATGCCAGAAGGGTAGGCACTAGACTTCTTTCATATTCTTTTTTAGGCAGTCTTTTGTCTCCGTTCCATTTGTTGTAATGTATGTTAAACTGAGGGAGTGCTTACACAGGCTCCTGCCAAATGTTCTTTAAGCACATTAAAGCATGTTTGTACTCAAATATAATTGTCATGTCTGCTGGAAGTCACATTTTAAAATTCCTTGCTTCCGCCTTTTTCCTTCGTGCCCTAACCTCTCTCTGTCATCCCAGTCCACAACAGAGCTCAGGTTGAAAGCTCATAAAGGGACATATATATCTCTCTAAAAATCTAAATTAAAGGTACTGGTCTGATGTTGCAAATTACTTCCTTTCACAGATTTAGATTCTAAAAGAAAGTAAATAATAGGTTTGGGGATTTGCAGTCTATGCTAATAGTTGAAGCAATATAGCGGTGACTCCAAATGTGTAGGCGCAAAGGTGCTGAATAATACATAGCTAGAATTTCTTCTATGTATTCATAGCTGCCTTATTTTAAAACACTCTCATCCAACTTTCCAGAATTCTCCGAACTCTGAAGTGATCCAGTGTCAATGTAAGGGGCAATTTGCAGAGGAAGAAATTATATCTGTATCATTTTCAGAGAACACTGAAAGAAGCAATAAATCAAGCTTCTCTGAGTAAGGGAAAAAAAATAATTGGTAGTAAGAGAGTTATCTACCATATTCCAAATTATTTCCTGTTGAGAAAGGAAAGGACAAAAGTGCTGATAGTTCACACTGTAAAGCTTTCCTGTGAAATCTTGAGTACATTGCTTGTCATTGTGTGTAATTAATTGTATTTTGCATCTTTTATAAAGTAGAATATCTTTATATCTATTTTTAAAAAATCACATAATTACCAAGATTAAATATCGTTTCTTGGAACTGCTTAGTACAAGCTACTGTTCTTTTTATTTATTTCTTTAAGCACAAGCAACAATCTTTTCCCTGTCTAAGTGTCTAGGAAGGAACAACATCCAGTATCAGCCCAGGGAATGCTTTTCAGGGCATGTATTTGAATGAGTGTTGCTCAATTGCTCCAGAGCACTGAAGATTTGTCCTCCAAGTATCCTCCTTCTAGCCTGGTTTTAGTTTTTCAGAGGAAACTATCTCTTCCCTGTTGCACATGTTCATGATGACCTTTATTTGTGAGATTGTTACTGTTCAGGCCATTATTTAAGTTCATGATAAGGTCCTGCTGACATTAGGAGATTTGTTCAAAACCCATTAATCTTTATTTTAAGCAAATGTACAGAATTCTGCAGCTCAGAAGAGCGCTTTAACTTTTTTTCTATGCTGCATACTTCTGTCTCATTCATGCCAGCAGCAATTGTGTTGTCTTCAATTCTGAAGAGCAGCTTGTACTCTCAGTATGTTGTCTGTTCTTTCCAGCTACGTCATTTGCTCTAAGAAGAATTGTTGCTGCCATACATCCATAGACCATCACAACCATAACTGCTTGAGTGGGAAGGGATTTTCACACGCCTTGTTTTTATTTTGAATTGGCCTTATAGCACGCCAGCACTGTTTCTCAGCCCTTTTCCTTCTTTCAGGAACTGTACACATATGTTCACTGCAGCATCTTTGAGCATTTTACAGGTTCAGCAAGGAGATGCATCCTGGAAACCTTGCATACACAATTTGTTTTTCAAGTTTTAATTTAGTCCAAGTGAACAACAGTTTAATAGAATAATGAAAGAAGTATTTAAGAAATGAACTTTGTTACTTAAAAAAAAAAAATCATTTATGAAACTCCAGTGATGTGACTTGTCAATTCTGTCCTTAAAGGAATGCACTTTGCATCAAATACTGTCCTTGTACACCCAGATTATGTTTACTCAAGACTTCCCAAATGTTATCTACCAGGCTAAAGAGAAAGCACAAAAAGTATTATTAAGAATGAAATTTTCCCATGCCTCAGTAAGCAAAGGAGCATTTGTCACATTGCTGAGAAATTCATTACAGTTGTTCCTGGTTCATCTTCTCTTGAAATGCATATGAGACTAAATTCCAGGCAGCCCTGCAGAGGTGTCTGCTGTACCAGATACAGCTGGTCAGAGAGTAGCCCATATATATTGTTAACTAGGGAAGAGATAGTAGCATTCAATTGTTGAGGTGTCCGACTAAATATTTGGCTGAAGAGGTATCATGGCCTGCAGGTATTCTTCCTGATGTGAAGCTCCATGTGCTCTGGGTATGCCAATCCCTGTGACTTCCCAGTGCAGAAAATCTCATCTACAGAATCTGTGTGTATGTTTCTTTCTCAGTGCATGATATAACTGATTTTGAACAGTTTGTGAAACTTAAAATGACTGAAAATGTGGGTGTAAATCCAACCTTTGTCAGACATAAGTAAGAGCAGTAATTGCTTCCTTTTCTACATTATTGGTCCGTATCCTGACTTACATAGGGATATAAGCCAAAACTTCATTGCCTTCAAGAATATCCAAATGGGTCTTGATGTATGTATGTTTTTTTCATATACTCATCCTGAGCTTATCTGGAGGTATGTATACATCATAAATGATAGCAAATGTAATGAAAATACTGAAATAATGAGTTTCTTCTAAAGACTGTATATTATAAATGTATATTTAAGCCATTTTCCTGTTCATTTAGTCTATCTTGATTTCTGCTTAGTATTCAGATTCCTCGCTACACACTGATGGGTTCTATATTTAATCAGGATAGTATATAGCACTCCCTGCACTACTTATACCCACTTCTAAACAGCTCACTTCATGTCATTGCATTTTTATTTATTCATTTCTTAACGTATCTTGCTTTTCAAGTAGTAGAGCAGTGGTGAAATAAAGCTAGCAATGTGATATTTTTCTTTATGAAGTGCAGTTATTTTTAGAGATAAGGTATAACAAATGAAAAAATAACTCTTTATATATACGAATGTGTAGGCTTTAGGTAAGAGAACCACGTATGGAAAGTAAAATATGGATGCTGCACAACCTGGTCAAACTAAGATTTCTTGGATTTGGGGCTTTTTCTTTTATATACTGATGTCTGGTTACTTCCTAATGAAAACACACTGCCCACAAAATGCTTTACAATTCTTAGAAGCTTAGAAAGTACCTGAGATCAGTGTTTAAAGTATACCAACTTTTAAAGTATTGTCTTTAAGGCTTTTATGTATTTAGTGAATTGGCATTGAATTCATCATATTTAATTTAGCTATTTGATTGAGTGAACTTCTAGCTATAGCGTATGTGGAATTTGGATGGATAAGGAAAAGCTTTACCCACGTATTGCAATTTCAGTTTAAAGTGTTTGTATTCACAGAGCAGGTGTCCAGATGTTCTTGACCTTATTTTTTTTTTTTCAACAAATCATATACTGACTATGCCAGGAGAGATGAAAAAAGGGTCATGTTTTGCTAAAGAAAAAAAAAATAGAAGACCCAAGTTCAAATTTTGACATTTTGGAGCTATGCTGGATGTACATACATATTCCAGCAATTTGTCTTTAAAGGTAGGAGTGTGATTATGTTGTTCTGAGTTGCATAGACTTTTTCTGATGGGTTCTTTTGAGTTTGTGAGTTGGAGAGCTTTCAGATGAGATCACAACACAGATTTAGTTCTGATGATTTGGCAGATGTCATTTTTGTATTAGAGGTCATGCAGGCAGTCTGTAGCTACTAGTGTGAGCAGAAATCAATTTGGGATGTTTTATTTTCTGTTACTGGGTTAGGCACTGACAGCTAGAGATAATACTTGATATACAGAATATATTGGTTGAAATTCTTTTGGATGTTACATTCTGCATGTAGTTTGGGTTGTTTTTTCTTCCTCCAGAGTACATATAATTTTTTTTTTAAGGAGAAAAACATTATTCTTGAAGAATTCTTAATGATTGACCTGCTAATTCAGAACCCAACGATGCAATACAAAATTGTAGTTGTAATTCTTAGAGATGTTGCGTATTTGTTCCAAAATCCATCTGACTAACAGGATTTTCAAGTCTCATCAAACCCACTTTTATTTTGCTCTGCATGCTTTCTTTCACAGCAATAGATATGTATCCCTGTTTTCTTGGTACTAGATTTGGTTTTTGCTAGTCAACTCAAGCTTCTTAATGGTCCAAAAACTTTACATGTGAACTCATACCTCCCAGGTTTTGGGAGCTTTTAACCAATTGTCAGCTTTGTAATATCTTAAGTAAAATATTTTGCAGTATGATATTGCCCCAAATAAATCTTGTTGTTTGAATCTGTGTGTGCGTCACTCAAGTATGCCCCTAAAATTCTTTTGTTTAGGACCAAAGAAAATGGCAGAACTGCCCTAATGAACTTCTGATACTATTTGGTACGAGATCCAGGGTAGCAATTTCTAATTTAAGGGGATCCATCCTTGAAATCCACTCCCAGTAAATTCACCTCATTCCTCTATATGACTTTTATACTTTCACATTTTACTTTTGGTCAATTTTTGTAGTAATCTAAGTGCCTTGTCACCTGTCTGTGTAAACAAAAGCCTGTAATGTTATTCCTGGATGGTTTGGATCTAGTTTTGACTTGTATATACTGTGTAACCAAATGTTCTTGATGAAAAATGCTCAACAAAATAATGTATTTTCTGTTTATCTTATGCATTAAAGGTACTAAATAGGTCCTGAGCACTGCCACAACAATTCAATGGAAAAGGAATCATGCTATGCGTTACCATGGCCTACAGTTTCACACTGGCTTCTTATAAGTGCTCTTTCTTCCTGTATGTGAGATCTATGCATATTTAAAATCACTATCTGCTTTGTTTTTGGGGTGTTACAACAGGTTTGGAATTAGCCGTAGATCCCCTGCTTCCATTGACAGGCAGAGCACGCAATCAGATACGGGTGGTAGCGGCAAATCCACACCCAGCTGGCAAAGAAGTGAGGATAGTATCGCTGACCAGATGGGTAGGTAATTAATTCCTTACAATGAGCAAGCCGTGCTAACCACAAGGTGACTTTGGCAATACTTCTCTTCGTTCAGAGGGATAACCCTCTTAAGCACTGTGTCTTTGGAAGTTTAACCTTGTTCATCAGGATGAATAATTAGATCTTGAGCATAGACTAGCTTCTGCAGTCTGTGTCCTTGAGACCTGTGAATATCACCTGAGGAAGAGCTCATTTCAGTTCTGCATTTGGCTGTGGGACTAGATCTACCTTAATGCTTTTACCTTGAAACGCTGTGTCCTTTTAGAGGCGGTTGGGTAAGCGCACTTATTAATTTGCCTTGCTCCTGAGGACTTGGTTGACCTCACCTGCTCTCCCGAGTGACTTAACTTAGTTTAATTTTTGCTTAGGTTGTTTAAAGTGCTTGTGATACTCCCTTTCAAATGGTGCTATATAAATGCAAATTGATTGTTTGATCATTGAAGCTATAAAAATACCACATACAAAATGGGGGGAAAAAAATGCAATTAAAATCTAAATAGTAAGGTAAATCTATAGCTTGGTAATCACCTTCCACCAGTGTATACATTTTCATTGCACTTGGCAATTAAACTGTCAGTTGAGAGAACATATTAACTATATGAAACAGCTGGGTACTGAGGATTTGCATTGTTAAGCCTTCATTTGGAGTTTCTGCACATAGACCTTTTCCCTACAGCAGTGGCTTCGCTTGCATGGATACCAATGAGGTTGACACCAGTGGAATCGTACTGTCTTCAAAAAGCATTGATCCAACATGATGAACACGGTCAAAATTGCTAGACTGTTTTTTTTCCTAACTTTATTTTTACCATAGGTTAAACAATTTCATACTTTTTTCCATCCTTGTATATACAGATCATTGTGCTGCATCACAGCTCTCTGTTTTATATAAATCAAGTTGTGATGAAAACAGAATGAAGTTCAGCAAATCTAGCAGTACTTTAGTAAGGGAAATGTGATCTTCAGGTTCTGGAGATGCACTTTGTTCACATACCTTCACAACATCAGTGAGCTGTTCCTTGTTATTGAAACCATCTGTCAGTCCCTCCCTCACAACTCCCCCCATACTTCTCACTAAAAAGCTGTGATTATACCGATCTGCAGTTCTCATTTTGACAGAACAATTTTTAATCACATATGTTTTGATACTGTAGTGATGGTAACGACACATGTAAAACCGATTCTTTTCTCAGCATTACTTTTGCAGACCAACAGTTGTGTGTTGATGCTGGCACTGAGAAGAGCTGCCAGCAAGATCTGTTCTAAAATGTCAGTAGTCACCATATTAGCAAAATAAATAAGTAAGGCCAGAAAGAGCAGGAAAAATTGTGTGGTAGATGAAATGGCTCCGACATTTGGCAGAGGCTGAGAAATGTGTGCTGACGTATAATCCCTGTATTTTATCTCTTGTGGATTGTCCTGTGTTCGTAGAGTGCCAGTTGGAAACTGCGTCTCCGACTGCAGACTTTATTGCCATTCTGAATCTAGGTGAAAGTTTGGTTTAATGCCAAATAAGCACATTTCCACTTGGGATAATCTGTATCAGGTTAAATAGGGCATTAGGTGCCGTGAATTCACACTCACTCCTTCCTGCCCGCTCCTAGCTACAGAAAATCTGTGTTCTTTGTTCACCAACACTGCTCATTACTACTTGCCAGAGGAAATCAAGTTCTTTTTTTTAAATAGTAATTTTAAAAGCTAGTTATGTTGCAGATTAAGATGAACAAACCATAGCTTTGAAGAACTGCTAGTAACAATGGCTGTTGTTAAACAATACTCTATTTAAATGTGATATTTCTAGAAATGCAAAGTATTGCATAAGCACGGGACTGTATCTTCTATATTAAAAGCTAAAAATAAGGTTATTTTGAATTACTGTTCTTGGCCTCTGAGAAAGCAGTTACAGGACCTAAAGGGTCATCTGAATATCTTCTAGACCCCCATCGTTATCTCCTAGGGAAAAAAAATAAACCTAATTGGCAAAGGGCACTTCTGAAACTGTCTATATAAGTTGAGTAGTTTGATTTCAGTCCATTTTTTCCTAGGTTAGTAAGAATTCAATTCTCTTGAACATCTATGCAGTTTCCACATTCACAACCATCAATTTTTACAGGAATATTGTGATTTCAACAAATTTTGTTATTTCTACAGCTAGAAAATATTTACTTAGTTCACCTTAACTTTGACACGAAATTTGTAGTAGTTCTGTTGGAGAAAAATGTGTGAATTTAAGCAGTCACTTTAGACTCTTTTTATTGTCCTGCCTTGCATAGAATAATACCATGTAAGGAAATGCAATCTGCAGAATTTTCTTTTAATCCTATCCTCAGGTAACATGCATAATGATGTACAATGCCAATACACTGTGAATATGAATATTGTTCTGTTTTAATGTTCTGAAACATTGCTATTGGACAAGGAGGGTGTAGCACTGGTCAAGTTGTTTTTAAAAAAAAAAGCCAATTTTTGCATTTTTTTCATGAAGTCTTGCTGATTTATGCTAGGCAAAAATGGGCCCTCAGTTTCTCACCTGTGCTTTGTCTCATGTATAGTTTTTATTTGGAATGAATTTCACTTTGGTTGTCAAAGTTTTTGGCTAATGGTAGCAGTGGGAAAAATTGCAGTGTAAAATCAGAGTGCATGTTTTCTTATTTCTTGTGCTGCATAGGCTTTTCAGTACATTGTTGTATGCTGTATTGCAGAACCAACATGTCATCTCCCAGCAGTATCAAAGGTACTGCCATCCTTCAGAGAGAGTCCCAGTGGAAGACTGATGAGACAGGATCCTGTGGTCCACTTGTCTCCAAATAAGCAGGGTCATGTAAGTTATTCTGAAAAAGGAATTATTTAATATTTTGCTCTTCAAAAGCTCTTCATACCAAATGTATTGTTCAAAACTATATTTAGAATGTCAGTTAAAGACGGATGGAAAAGAAAAAGAAATCTTCAAGCCCTGTTTTCTGTTTAACTTTGGAGGAAGTGATAAAGCAGATGTTACTTCCTGAACCTTACAGAAGCTACCCAGAAATATTTATTAGTTAATAAAGTTTTGTTGACAGATGAACAGCACTTTCTTGTCTGTTATCTTGTGATAAGGAGAGGATTTATGGGAGTTTACAAAGCTATTCCTAGGCTTCACATGGGAGACATGAAGTTGACAAATACATTGTGCGTTGCAAGACTCAGAAAGCTGCTTCTTTGAAACAGACTAGAAGTCTTGCTTTTCTTTATATTTTCTCCACTTTCCTCATCTGCTGTAACTATTAATTCCTTTCCATAATCAATCTTGCACACTGTTGGAAGAGTTCTTTTGAAAGGTCCACTAGAATGTGGCTGAGAAGTCTCTTATTTCTAACTGGCAAATTCTACCTTTCTGCTTCAATAGTTAAATGTGCACTTTGTTTTGAGACTTTCACTTCCTGATTTATATACAGAGAGACAGATTAAGTGCAGTAATATTCATGAATTAGAAATCTCTTGAAAATTATTTAAGTCACTAGAACCAAAGAAAGAAAATGCTCTTTTATCCGCTGTTCGTTATGCCAGATCATCTTTATGATCAGCTAGAATATAGAGTTGTGCTGACTGATTACACTCAAACTATGAGTTGCATTTATTTAGATCTTTCATTAGTTCTTATTATTTACTTCTGCTTACCAGCATTCTTCTTTTGAATGCAATTTGCAGTGTTTCTTTTAGGTTATTAATTCAGAACAACGTGCCCTCATTATTTTAAAACAAACAAAACACCTGTCTTCCTATTATGAGTTTTTGTATTTAGATTGACTTGTTTTCCATGTGATTCATTTGACCATATAATAATGTGATAGCTACCTCATTAGCTTGTCTGCAAAATGTAACACTGGATTTACTGATGCTTGCATTCTTTTCATTTAGTCTTTGTTATTGTAAATCTTTATTATGTAGACAGATGGATGAAGGGAGTGATACAGTTACTAATGAAGAGTAGTAACATTAATTGGAGATAACTAGATCAACTTAATACTGTTCCTGTTTTTCTGTCAGTTCTTGTTGTAGTATAATAAGCAATGTGGATACTGAGATTTCCTCCTCTGGTTATCAACCCATTCTCTTTTTTCCCTCTTTTCCAAAATGAGAGTAGAAACAGTATCTAATCTTTGATATTTTATCTGCCCATTTCTCCTTGGTAAAATTCTGCAAGTAGGCAAAATAGGGTGGTTCTAAATGTCCTTTCCGTCTCTTCTGTTATTTTGGGGCCATCTCATCACCAAACAAGTCCATTTCATAATGGAAAAACAAGTTTTTCAGTCTAGTTATTTAGATGATCAGAACTTAGATGTGTTCTTTGAATGAAAAATAAAATTAAGAAATTGAGAGGAATATAAATACCTGAAAGGTGAGCTACTAAGCAGAGATAAGTATAGCAAGAAATTCTTTCTGTAATGGGATATTCCACTGATACCCACTATGGAATAGTGGGCATCATTGGAATTCACTTTCTTCATAACAACTGGCTGTAACCAAGGGCAGAACCCGCAACCCAGTCAGAAACTGCCACGTCCAGATGGGGCAATTTCAAAGCATTGCACCAAAGAAATTGCTTTTCTTGCAATTCTGCCTTTTGGAAAACGGCTTACAAATAGTTAAATGGCATTTCAGTGGTCCTTTGCAAAGGATGGTCCTGCTGAGGAGGAAATAGACCTACCTACTGCAAAGGGATTGGAAGAGCAATGGTTGCTTTTCCCTGCCTTAGTCTTTTGTTATGCAATTGTATTGTTGAAATAATGTGCATTTTCTATGGATTGTTATGTATCATATTCTAAAACATTAGACTGTAAAAATCAGAATATCTTCAATTATAGTAGTTACAAAACAAGTCAAAGCCTACACAGCTCTGTCAGTTAATTGGTTGGGCCTGAGTAAAATTACACTTGAAAGAAAACAATATGAAGTATTTTATGACAAAACTATGAACTCTGGTTTTCCCTGCATTGCTGAAGCATGGCGTCCACATCCGTGTGAAAGCATCTTATGTGCTCTGAGAACAGAGCAATACTCATTGTGTTAGAATGAATTTTTAGAGTTGTAGAGTTTCTTGATTGTATCTATCCTGTACCTGAAGGTAGAGAAATTTCTACTGCACAGTGGGAGCTTTAACCCTTTACTTCTCTTCTTCCATTGCCATAATTATGAAGTAAACCTACATGTTTGGGATTTTTTTAATTGTTGTTTCTTCTGTAGTCTGACAGCCACTACTCCAGCCATTCCAGCAGCAATACTCTCTCCAGCAATGCCTCCAGTGCTCACAGTGATGAGAAGTGGTATGACAGTGGAGAGCGCACTGAGTCAGAGCTGAACAGCTACAACTATCTTCAGGGGACTTCGGCTGATAGCGGCATAGATACCACTTCCTATGGACCTAGCCATGGCAGCACTGCTTCTCTGGGAGCAGCAACATCTCCCCGAACAGGGCTAGCAAAGGAAAAAGTGACACCACTGTGGCACAGCTCCAGTGAAGTGGTCTCCATTGCAGACAGGACATTAGAAAAAGAGAGCCACATTGACCGAAAAGCTGAGTCTTCGCTGAGTCTGGATATTCACAGCAAAAGTCAACCAGCCTCCAATCCTCTAACAAGGGAGAACAGTGCTTATAGTCTTAGTGATGCTGTCTCACATACAAGGTAATTTTCACTGCTTATGTGATTGACACTTCCACGTTCATTTTCATAATATTCTCATTCTCTAGCCTGATAAAAGCAAGAAGCAGTTGTTTAAGTTGAGGCTTCTATTTGACCAGTCTATTGACCAGTGTTTTGAGAGATCTTGCTGTGCAGAATGCTTATAAATTAAGACCATTTTTAGTCTTTGCGTCTGCTGCTTCATCTAACACTAATGTCTTTGACAACATATTCCATACTACTGCTATTAAACAAGACAGATGAGTGCCTGATGTGTTTGTAAGAAACATTTTGCAAGATCTGCAGTTGGTATACAAATTAGATCAGTCCCTTTTAGTAATGCACAATTTATTCTGAATTTCCTTTTTTGTCTTGCAAGTATGTGTTTCAGATGTCTTCTACTTTTTTTATAAATCTTTTTGTTTAGAATTCTGCTTATAGTCATTATGATCAATACTGAGAGCAAGTTGCTTGAGAGCGCTAGCAACTAGATTCATTCTGAAGCAAGTTGTGGGTACGACATGTTACTGTCACATCCCCTCTTTCCATTAGTTTTGCGATTTTTAAAATTGGGTATACCAAGTATGGGTATAAAGAACCCAAACACCTTAGATGGAAGATACCCATTTTACGAGTTCATTTGAGCTGCTAGAGGCAGACAGTATTTTAGACCATTTTTCTAACCCATTTCCAAAAAATATTCAGTGTACATTTTCAAAAATACTTGGTGTTGTACAAAAAGGAAGAAATGGCTTTTTTAGAAAAGTGTATGATCATAAATATCTGTTGCTTTCACAGAGACTGACTATTGCATTTTTATTCTTAAGGATGAAATCTTGAAGCGTTATTTGCTATCCATTTTGAGCAAAGCTACATTTAGGCAAGGGTGGATGTTTATCAGACAGTTTAACAGTTCCTCATATAATAGCTGCAAATGGAGTTTGTCATTGAGACTGCAGTGTAATGAACTGTCTCCATGTACTTTGTCATGGTGATTCTTACTCGTTATCTATTAATGGCGGTCCCACTCTGGTTTTCTGTCTCTTTTTGGCTGACTGTTTTTGGCAGTAAAGCTCATGTTATTCCATCCAAGTCTTTGAGACAGGTGTTTCCAACAGCTACACATGCATGAAGGACTTGAGCAAATCTTTAGAATACACTATGGAAGGCAATTTACATGGAATTTAGGCAACTTTACCACTTCCCCCTTTCTTGGAAAAAAAATTCTGTGGTGGTTATCTACAGTGTTATAAGTTTTATTTTAAGACATGCATGTCTATATGTATTTCTTTTTGATGTTCATTAGAATTTATCAAATGCCCCGTAGTGCTTGTCTGAATGTAACTAGCAGCAGCAATACACTTATCTTCATTCTTCCAGCTCTTACCTTTGTCTTCTCAAGACATGGTATTTTCTCTGGTTGACTTAGTCTAGTCTAATTGGTGTTTGTGCAGTGACCCTGTTGTAGTCTTCTACATGCTTTTTTTCTAGCTAAATAAAATGAAATTTCTTGTTCATTTAAAGACCAGCAGCTCTTCACAAAGAAGAGAGGTTGTAGCAATTTGTAGAGTACGTGGGACGTGATACCCATGCTGCAAGCACTGCATCCATACTGTTTATTCTGGTAGAGACAAGGACAGACTGACATGAAGATGAGAAAATGTTTGATGCCTTACAATAAAACAAAGGCACAGTCTGGACTGACTAGCTTCTGTTTTGTTTCTCATGGTGTCCTCAGTTGATGGTTACACACTGAACAGCAGTGCTTGGTCCAACTGTTAGCTGGCTGACCTGGGTGGATGGCAGCATGGCAAAGAGCAGGCAGGGGCTTGTTAACCTGGCACTCGTAAGTGTAGCCACTGCTGCCTGCTTCAAGGAGGAGAGTGAAGGATGATCCCGAGAAAGCTGCTTTTTGTGAAAAAATGAGCAGCTTAATTGCTGTCTCTGTCAGTTTCTAAATTGTTATCTTTTGCTGCTTCTCACACTTTACCTTTTGCTTCGTTCATACCAGAACACCTGTGACATCTTTAGAGTTGGGTTTCTGAGCAAGAAGAAAAGGAATTTTGGCCCTGAAAAGAACTCAGTGACAAAAGAAAAGAAAATAGCCACAAATTAGAGTGTTTGTGTCTATAGAAGACAGGAGCAACAATTAGTGTTATGATCATTTGGTGGTACGTAAAAGAACTTGTACCTGAGAACTGGCAGCAAAATGTAAATTATAGTGATTAACTTTTACAGCAGAGCTTTTGGCTAGGTTGTTACTTCTCCACCCCCATTCTCAAACTCCTTCCTGATGATCGTGCATATTTCTCATAGCATCCCAGGAGAACTGCATTATGTAGGCCAATAATTATACAGAATCATTACAGCTGAATGTCATTAAATGAAGCCATATGTGCTGATGGCATTAATTCCCTAGGAAAAGATAAATAAATCAAACTTTCGTTTCCACCTAAAATGGGTGGTTTCTTATGTCCCTTTTAGCAAAAATAAAGTTATGGTTATTTCTAATCCAATATATTTTAACTACAATATTTTTAATATACTTAGTCCAAAATGATTAAATAATATTTTACTTCTATGAAAGACTCAACTGAAATTCTTGCAGATTGTCATGCGATATCTGAAATTTTCCCTAATCTAATCCTTCCTGTCTCAGTGCTCAAGCTGGGAAGTGAGAGACCACCAGTGGCAAAAGGCTCTCATCTCTCTGTCCTGGGACTGACGACTGAATTCCTTCCAGATCTAAACAAACCCGTCCAGCTGTCTTTTACACTACCCATGCTTCCTGCTGTCAAGCACTATATAACTCATCATCACGACCACAAAGCTTCAGCTCCAATTTATTCTAGGGTTTATCCAAAGCCTTTTGCTCTCCAGAAATGCTCGCAGTTAACAAGTGTGTCTCTTTCTGTCAATATGCTCTTGACTTGCCTTTGTTTGTATGAAGAAAACTTCAGGCATTTTCACAGTTTTGCATACAGTTCCTGAAGCTGTATATCATCCCAAAATATTATGTTGTAAAACCACAGCTCAGAATATTCTACTCACTTTAAAGAGAAGTATATTAAAAACTATATGCTAATTTTCTTGTTCATCCACCAGACTGCTCGTCATGTATTATACATGACATGTATTATAATAAATATTTAACCAATAGTACTTATAATATACAGTATTTATATACAGGATGATATATAATAAAATACAATTATTAAATATATGCACATTTTATATATATATATATATAAAGCATTTCATATATATACATTTATATATTTATGTTATATCTCTCTATATATTTCATGTGGAACATACTGAATATCACTTTTTGTGTTCTCTGCATAGTAATATTAAGGGTCAGCACTACCAACTTATTATTATTATTATTAATAATTTTTATCAATATTTTTTTTCCTGACAAATAACACTTCCTTGAGATTGACCCAGTAAGATTAAAGTATTTAAGTATGGTCAGAACTTTTTCTTCCTATGCTGAGGCAACAGACTTCACCAATTCTTGGTTATCTTTAGAAGAGGATAAGCATTAAAATTTAGAAAAAAAAAAACAACTTTTTTCTTTAAAGATGTACATCTTTCACAAATCTTGCTGTTTCAGTTTTGCAGTAGTGATGCTTCACAGATGGGCTGTTTTGCTCAACATATGTAGGAGTTCTCTTTTCAGTACTGAAAACAGAAAAGAGAAGAAGGAATGAAGAGAAATTTACTGCCTCTCCCTCTAGCTCCTATTTTTCCCTGTTTTCTTGCTATGAATTGTTTACTTGTGTTATAAATAAAGGCCATGGTGTGCAGCAAATATATGGGATTGATGGACAGAAATATCTCTTCCTTTGCTTTCCTAGTCTGCCATTTTTTGTAAAGGTCTTTCAAAGGTATAGATAAGGGAGAAAAAATGAAAATAAAATCTGGATTGTTATCGTCTGATTTGTGTACATATGAGGAGATGCATCTCCCCTCTAATATGCACTGCCATCCTCACGATGGGGGTGTGGGCAGCAGCAGGCAGTGCTGTTTGAGAAGGGAAGCCTGCCATCACTGCTTGCTAAATCCACATTCCTTAGCTGTTGGGTCTTCACTTCAGCCATCTGAAGGAGAAAGGTATAGTTGAAGGTGACTTCAGATGCCATCTGTTGTCAGTAGAGAGGAAAAACTGGAAAGCATAATTCTCCCTGCCTGAGACAACTGATTGAAGGTGAGGAGAATCACCTGCAAGGGTATTTCCCTCTCCATTGGCTATAACAGAAGCCAGACAATTGGCATAGATTAGATAACCTATTTCTATAAGGTTGAATGCAAGTGAGATTATTTTTCCAGGTAGCAATATGAATTTACCTTAAATATTTTCTCTGTTTCATTAACAGTCAGAGACATGAGAATGGATTGTTTTATCATGACACAAAAACAGCACTGAAGAATCTTCTGTTAAACTAAGAATGAGGAAATTGTTCAGTGACTTTGTTCAGCCTCCCAGCTAACGTTTTATTTCTCAGTCAGAAACTGTTCTTTACCACAGGGCCATCTGTTTCAGATTCCTTCCTTGCAGTGTTGGATACAGGGATGAAAATGTGACTAAGTTGTGAGGAGAAGTGATGGAAAACTGGTTTATACGTATTTAATGCTGTTTCAGTACTGTGGCTATATACAAAGCTTTCTCTATCACCAGAAATGCCTGACCTTTTAAGGTTGTTAAAGTAAATATTGTCTTAAGCACTAGTGCTCCTGATATTCTGCAAATTGCATAAGGTTTTAATATCATCATATCTGAAGAATAGCTCCTATTTAAAGCCCCCCACCGTCATCACCTTCTTCCAGTGATAAGTTGCAGTTAGTCACCTAGACAAATTGTGGCATATGCCAAATCAGCAATTTTACTAAGTCTCTTTTTTTTTTTTAAAGTAACTGCTTTTTAGGCAAAATCCAGGAAGTTCTCTTTTGAAAGAGATGTATGGGTATCTTCTATGCCTTGTTGTGGAGTCTCAAAGGGCGACGTTCCTGTTGCTTAACTTCCTTAACAATACGTTTTGTTCCACAGCCAGGAATTCCAGCGAGAAGTTGGTCTTGGGTTCTTTTTTCAAATTCAGTTACAATCTCATGTATTACTTCAAAGCTGCTAATCACAATGAACCTTAGGTTTCCTATTGTAAAGGAGGGAGTGGGGCAGCTTGATATGTCGTTTCCTTAGAGGTAACAAAACGTGTTGTGACTGTATGAGATGTTTTCAATAAAACGTTGGTAGAAGACCCTTAAGGAGACTGAATCGGTTTTGCTTCTCTACTTACTATTAATAAGTGCAATGTCATGTGCTCCAGATTTTTCTTTACAAATACATGTATGCACAGTAGAGGCAAATTTTGTCTTTGTTATGTTTCTCTCCCAGTACCATGAGCTCACGACACTCTGCCAGCCCGGTTGTTTTCACCAGTGCCAGAAGCTCACCTAAAGAAGAGCTTCATTCTGCTACTTCTCCCCAGCTTGCACCTTCTTTCTCCTCCTCCTCTTCCTCCTCATCTGGTCCTAGGACTTTCTACCCTCGCCAGGGTGCTACCAGCAAGTATCTGATCGGATGGAAAAAGCCCGAAGGGACGATAAACTCAGTGGGGTTTATGGATACAAGAAAGTAAGAATGATTTTTAGTTTTCTTCTTTGGTTATTGGCTTTAATTGTATGAAAGCATTAAAATCTGTGACATTTCTCTGTCTAAAAAAGCTCAAGGTTATCTAATAGAATGCTTATTCTACGGTAGAACTTAGTCTCATAATGAGTTCTGCAACTGGGCTTAAATATTTGATAGTTAGCTAATCTTATTCCCTGATAAGATGCTTTTAAACATTATTATTTTTGTTGCACAGTATGGGTTTCACTTCTATTAAAGCTTATCTTTCCTTGGGACTTCTTAAAGGAGACTCAAAATGTTATTTCAGCAAATATTAAAAATCTTCTTAAGGTAGAGGCTGAGTTCTTTCCTAAGCCTCTCACTCATGTAGTAGTACTGTGCACGGTATGTATTAGTTCTGTGGCTCTCCATGTTGGCTCATCTAGGTTGCTCCCAGCATCCTGTCTAACTGGCTTAAAGCAGTGTTACAATATTCAGCCAACTCTTTTGGAATAGAGATAGAGAAACAACTTTCTAGTGAAAATACTGTTTCTTTAAGTCTTACATGACTTTGAAAGCAAGTGATTTGGAAAGCCCATTTCAAAATAATTTGTTCATCCTTTCTTGACTTCTGCTGAGTCAGTGCAGGATTCCAAAATGATGCCAGTAACTGATTATCAAAAGGAGATGGAATTTTGTGAAAGCTGCAGTAAAAAGAGAGAAAAGTTTAAAGGAACTTGCTGATATGTTGCTCTTGCACTGATTTAAGGAATATGTTCTTTTTAGTTTTGTGCAAAATATGGATTATTTTAGCAGATTTGGTCCCTTGTTGAGAAAATGTATCACAATAACCTTAACATATGTCAGTAATTGATCGCTTCAACAGGTATTCATTAAGATGAGGCCCTGCTGTATTAGGGAAACTCCTTTCTTCTTTCATGCCCTCTACCTGTGCTCTTTCTTTTTGAGAATGCTATAATTCTTGTTTCATCCATGCCTCCTGCCCCAGGGCTTTGAGACCTGAATGTGTCTGTTCCATTTCATTTAAGACGTCACCAGAGTGATGGCAACGAGATGGCCCACCCTCGGCTGCGCGCATCAGCAAGAGATCTGCGAGCATCACCAAAACGAGCATCAAAGTCCACTGTTGAAGAAGACTTGAAGAAACTGATAGATCTTGATAGTCCAACACCTGAATCCCAGAAGAATTTCAAGGTATGTTGCAAAGTCTGGATATCGGTTGTCACAGCTAAGTGAAATCTGAGAATACCTTAAGAGCAGTGTGCACATCCTATTTTGATCCAAGTCATAATTCTCTTGTCACAAAACAGAAATTTGTAAAGCTGTACTTCAGGGGAATTTGATGAGGAAATTCATCACTGCCTGGACGCATCACTGATACAGCAAAAGGTGTCACAGTTTGGAAATGGACGAAGGCTGTGAAGCTCTAAAATATCTCTGTAGAAAATGCTGAGTGCTTTCAAAGTGGTAGAAACTGAAGTGTTCTGTGCTCAGTACTTTGCATTAATGGCTTCTGAGTTTCTCAGATAGGATATCTTCCATTCTCACCCATAAGAAGAAAATGAAACATAAGATGTTGTCTGCATTATCATCGACAGAAAGCCATCTGCTTGTCACAGACTGTTCTTGCAAGAGGAGAACGTTTAGGGAATAGTTGCATTCTTCCAGTCACTGCAATATTATTTCAACTGTGTGCTTAATTGCAAAGAATATTTAGGACTGCTGGCATATGAGAAATCTTGTAATGTTGTCTTGTGCATTTGTATTGCTCTTCTCTGATTGCAGCACTAAACTGCAACTTGTTGACAGTACTGAAACTCCTTGCAATATGTGTGCTTTCCCACTTCTCTAATCCTGTTCCTTAAGAAGGGCCAAGAATGCTCCTCAGACTTAAATATTTATATAGAATAGTTGTGCAAACATTTCCTGAGGTGTTTGGTATTTGTGTATAATAATCATAAAGTGTATATTTTTAAGAATTTATTTTAAGAATCCATCATTTTGAAGAGAATCTCTTGATTTCTACCGTTATGTAGAGTCAGTGCATCACAGCTCACTTGCCACCTACCCCAGATGGTTTCCACAGCAACTGTGCAGAAGAGAGAGCTTGCACCTTCTTTCTCTGCTAGCAAAAGCCCAAAATGGCTTAGTAAAACTTATGAATTCTAGGTTCTATAGACATACTATTTCAGATGTTACATTTAGGGCAGGTTAGATGAAGTCAAGATACGATAACTTTCTCTTCGATTTTGTGGTAGTTCTACGTTGAGTGAGCCACAGGCAAGCAAAAACATCCCATTAGTTGCTTTTGAGCAAGCTGATTATTGTTATTCCAAATTTCCTTCTGTTCAAAGAAGTGACCTATAAAAGAGGCCTATAGAGGCACTATAAAAAGTATGAAGGTTCCAAACTTTCTTAATTTTTTAATTTGGGTTGAGTGAATCCGTTCTTACCTTAATTTTAATTTCTTCGTAACAGTAACAAATATGTTAACTGAGGTTATGCTTTTGATAAATTTCAGCAAATTCCCAAAACTATCACACCAATAAATAAAACGTTCTGTGTTTTAAACTGTCATTTCTGCCCACTGCAGGATTTATATTTCATCTTACAAAAAAATTATTGCTCTGATTGCATGAAAAAATGTTGACAGTTGGAGAAAAAAAAAGAAAAGTATGATAATGCCTCTCATGTGTTCACTGCACAAAGACTGAAAACCTCCCTCTTTTCTGCTGACTGCTTTGTATTCTAGCAGAATTTGTTCTAGGCTATGATTTTGGGTTGCTTTACTATCCTACCGTCTTTCTCATCTCCTTACCTACTCCTAATGCATTGTGTCTTCTCAGATAAGCCACCCTTCTTTTTCCTCTCTCCTAACCATTTTTCTGACTCCTTCAGTTGTTTATACCTGTGCAAACTTTTTATTTTAAGGTCTGGTATTAATTAGTGGTTCCAGCTCCTAATTCTCTGGTGGAGTTTGAATTCTTTAGCACTATGTTAACTATAGGACCCTGAAGTGTATGATGTAACAGCTCTTTCTATTCGTTTGCCTCTTCAGAGGAAACGCTGGGAGTTTTTAACAGACATAATGTGCACCTGCTGATTGAGCTTTTATATTTCAGACAAAAAAAGCAGCTTGATCCTCAACATAATGCTGTGACAGCTGTGTACCAGAAGTTGTCATTTTTGTAGCATTAAGTGTATGTGCAAGGTTCCTAGTGTTGTGGCCATGAGTTCTGTCCTAAAGGAGCCAGTGCGGAAGGGAGGGGTTTACATAACAAAGCTGGCATGGGATGTGACTTCTTTCCTTTCTTGTCTTTCACAATAGCAAGTTTTTGAAAGTAATCTTAGCTGTTCTGATTCTTAACCCACAAAAAGCAGACTTCCAATATTAAAATTTGGAATGTTTTGACAAAAAAAAATCTGGCAGATCGTTTTTCACTGTACAGTACCAATAGTCCTTTCTCCATGTTCTTCTCCCACCTTGCAGTGTGGGTTTTTGATCACAGGAATAGAGTACCGTCTGTTTAACATTTTTTTCCCTTTTTCTGAGGAGAGAACTGTTTTTCTGTGCAGATGAGTAATGCTTTATAATGTTTAATCACACTTTCCAGAAATCGAATTCTTTCCTGTCTTGTTCAAACATGTTTACAGAGCAGATGAGGATGGCAAGGTCTTTTTCTCGGGTTGCCATCTCTCCATGAAAGCCTTTGAACAAAATTTCAACCAAACCATAAAAAATGTTGTGTCTCAGAGGTGGTTATATTGCCAGAGGTTTCATGAACATTTGTGGCTGGTAGAGTAGAAGATCGGTGTCTGGACTGGTGGGAATGGTATGCGTTGTTTGAAAGCAGCTTACTAGCACTGGCCAGTGAACATGTAGCTTCAGACTAACCGTAGCATTGCTTCCTTGTTTGCCAAGCTTGGAGGAAGCTGGGAATATGAAGGGGGTGAGATACAAGCTCTCTCATGGGATGACTCATTTAATTTTCTTTCAAGTAATTCTAAAGAACTGAAGTGTAGTGTTGTTCCTGGTTGTTCAATAAGATGAGACTTGTAATTAGTCGGTGTTTGTTGGTGCTCTGCGTGCAGGGAAGCAGCCTCCCCAGGTACGAGGAGGGCTCATTTATGCAGCATTTGGTTTGTTTCTGCAAACATAATCTTTGCTACATGAGAGCTCTAGAATTCATGAGGGAGGCTGAGATTTACTCCTTAGTCAAATCTGGAAGAATACTTAAAAGCAGAATTGTAAGACAGATTGAAAAAGACCTAATTCGTTATCTAGTCATAATCTTCCTCAAAGCAGATTCCTTTATTTTCTCTTTCCACTTTGGGGAAAAAAAAAACAACAAAACTAGACAAAATTATGCTAACATTTGCTTTCTCATTAAAATAAGAAGTCTTAAGAAATCACTTCATACATTTCAGAAGTTTCTGTATTGATTTTTTATTTCTTTTTATTTCTTTTTTTTTTTTTTATGAATGTATAGTCACACACTCTGTCCTGTCAGTCTCCCTTTCCCAGCACTCCTACCACAAGGCGTGCCTTGCAAAGGACTTTGTCAGATGAGAGTATTTACAGTGGTCAGAGAGACCACTTCTTCGCCTCGCGGGCCTCACTCTTGGACCAAGCCATGCCAAATGATGTCCTGTTCACCAGCACATACCCTTCTCTCCCAAAATCGCTGCCACTGCGGAGACCGTCGTATACTTTGGGAATGAAGTCACTACATGGTAAGCATTTCTGATTTTCCTATTTTCAAAGGAATCCATCATAATTATGTCAAGAAAAGTGGTTTGTTGCAGCCATTAGTACTTCTGTCTTGATTTTGCTGAAATGAAGAGTCAAGTCACACCTGCCTGGAAATATAAAACAGATACGGGAATTTTTTTCCTCGCTTCAGTGTGTATGAGGTTGCATGACTAGCTAGTCATGTAGTTACCTTGTGGAAGGAGCACAATACCTCATCAGCTCTAAATTCTCACCATTTTCTTCAGTCATCAGAATGAATTGAACCAATGGGTAAATAATGTATGCCTGGTTATCTATCAGTGACAACTTCAGATGGCAGTTACTTTAGCGTGGGACTGTGGGAAGAAAATGCTATTAGGGAAATAATGGTATGAAAATGTATAAATGCTGGTGGACTTCTGAATGTATGACTACACTAGAAACAGCTTTTATTACACCAACTATTTTTCAGTTCTCTCACTTGGCTATTCGTTTCACAGGACTTGAGTTACTTAACTTTGGTCCCATTAGCAGTTCTACAAGGGAGTTACTTGTTAAACTGTTGTCAAGAAAGCATTCAATTTCCCCATTAGTCTGCTGAAAAGTCCCAATAAGATTTTGGGATAAGCTGTGTTATTGTATGTGAATTTCTCAGCTGGTGAGAAAGGGAAATTCACAGATTCCTGTTGTATCTTATAGCTAGATGTGTGCTAAGCAATTCTGCAGTAATTTTTAAGGGCTTTTCAGATTTATTCACATTTTCATGTTTCAGTGCAAGACTGTCAATAAATTCAACTCATTACAGTAGGCACTAAACACTGTCTGTACTGTTGTTTCCATACAGCATGTTAGGAAGCCAAACTCTTTTCAGTTCTTCTTTTTATATGTGCTAAAATGACTTTGTGGACTTGGTTACATGCATAACTGACTGATAGACTTGGCTTCTGAGAGTTTGAGGTCAGAAAGTTAATGATGCCATCTGAGTAGAAGAGGAAGGCAGCATGTGGACTCTTTTCATTCAGATGTCTGTATTTTCTAAACTGAAAAACCTTCTCTCACTGTCATATCCTTGTCCACAGTGAAATGATTACTCCTCCTAGCACATAATCTTTATACATTTGCCAACAAAATAAGACTTTGCATTTTCTGTGAGATGTAGGCCTGCGTGATAAAAGCCTGGCTGATTGAGTGACACGTGAATTGTGTTCCCTTTCCCTTCCCCACTTGCCTTTGCTCAGAGGAAGGATTAAGTAGTACTGGGTATTTAATACCTCTAGTATTTGTTGGCTTCAAGTTATTCAGACTTATTTTAATTCAAAGATCTGAATAACAAAGAACTGCCACTCCAGAGCACCTTTGCTTGGTTTGAAGAGGGGAAAACTTTGAGCTAAAAATATTTTTTATTTACTCATCTGTCTTAATTAACAACCATCTGGTGCTTTTAAAACAATTTTTCAAATAGTCAATTCTTTTACTTCCAATTTTGTGCATCTTTTCACTAGTTGTGAACATTTCTGTGTTGAGAACTTACAAATAATTGTCGTCTTCTGAGGAGTCGATACAAGAATCTTCAGTGTTGAGTTAACCTTAGTTTTTTAAGTATACACCAAAAAAAACCCAAACAACAGAGTTTTTGAACAAAGAGCAACTTCAGTGTTGTATTTCTGCTCATTGTTTCCCAGGCAGCAATGTTACTTAAAGCTGTTAAAAAGTTCTTTAAGTTATGGAAATTACCTAGCTATTTAGAATATTTTTTTAAAAAAAAAAAAAAAGCAAAAATAAGCAATGCAAATATTGTGTTTGTCTTCTGGTGGGTCTATGCCCTGCCCACAGGGCTGTCTTCCCGTTCTCAGTGCCAGATTTACCTTGCCTTGGCCCAGACTGATTCTTTTGTATACCTTTCCTCTCTGCAGCTTCGTCCTATGTATATAGTCCATCTTCTCACCGTTGCTTTCTGTACTTCTGATACTGCCTCACATTTGTTGCAATTTCCTTTATGCTTCACCAAGCACAGGGCATGAGGAAGCAGGCTGTTGCTGCTTCTGAGCTTGCATGTGTGCTAACTGACCAGGCATTCCATGCTTATTGATTCACTGGCCAGCAAATAGAAATATAAGACATAATTAATTGCACATTCACGGTTTGCTCTTTCTCTCACTAGTGGCAATAATTTAAATATTCCACTTTTTAGGCTACAGGTTACACAAAAATTACAGGAATTTATTTCTCTATATTCTTTTCCAAGCTTGCCCATGTGTTCTGTGGTGGTGGTGGTGTTGTATTTTCTCCATAGCAGGCCATATACCAACTCATGGATGAGCTTGGGTATTTTTCAGAGTTTTCTTGTTCTGAGATGTTTTGGTTGGCCTAAGTCTGCTCCTATTGACTCACAATATTGTAAATAGAAGATGAACAAGGAAAACCACAGTCTTGTACTTTTTAGAGCAGCAGATAGGTAACGGGGATTGGAGAAGCCCCAGCAAGCTGCAGAGCCCTCCAAAGTTCCTTCAACTTGTGCAAAGGCAGGAATCATTGGGTAGAAGAGTACTGCCCCTACCTCAGTACTGGAAGAGAAGTTGACTGTTTAAGTGGTAAACTGCAAAGATTTATGCAGATTCAGAAGGAATTTAATGTTCTGGTGAGGGGCACAATCTCAGAAAGTGTAACATGCTCTGACTGGTTAACTATGGTTGATCAAATGTTCTGCTGAGTTCTTTAGATCTAGAAATGACATCCTCCTCCAAAATGAAGAAGAGATACTTGAGTATTAGAAAAGGAACTCTGTTTTGGTTTGGGTTTTTTTGGTTGCTTTGTTTTTTATGGAGCTTACCTTTTATTCTACATTACTCTACTCTAGGAGAGTTTTCTGCCTCTGACAGCTCCCTCACAGATATCCAGGAGCAAAGACGGCAGCCCATGCCAGACCCTGGTCTTATGCCATTGCCTGATTCTGCCTCTGATCTGGACTGGTCAAACCTGGTAGATGCTGCCAAAGCCTTTGAAGGTAAATTTTCAGAACATAATACTTAAGAAGCTGATCCTTCTGCGTGCTTCATAAAGAACTGTTTTTCTTTTGGAAGGGGGAGGGGGGGAAGGGTTTGACCCTTAATTTTGTTGGCATTATTAGTGTGAGCCTTTAGCTCTTTTAAAACAGCAACTGAAGTCTTAACAGTCTAGAACTTTGTTTGCACGTATGAAGTGGCATTTCTTCATAGTCAATTCCTTTTGTTTTGCTGCAGTTTGGCCAAATATCTGTGAAACTGGCTGTTTTTCATGTCATGTAAAGCAATTCCAGACAGCAGCTAAGAAAAACATTTGTTGCAAGTGCAAAGTTGAGTCAAAGAGCAGAAGGAAAAAGCATATGAGCACATTAATGATTGTTTGCTTACTGCATGAGCTAGGAGTTTCTATAGTGCAGCTGAAGTGCAGTTCTCAAGGTAATTTGGGAAATGTGCCTTGTTGGCATATAGTTTTTGCCCTTCTGTATGCCTCTGCATACTCCAAATACATAGACTTGCACATAGGTGTCATTTCATCCTATAGCACTTTCCATCTCCTTGACACTTAGTAAGACTAAGAGAACTGCAAGCTGCCTAGATGTATTTGAATTTAAAATGAAACTCTCTTCTGCCCAAAGGGAGTTGTTATGATCTGGTGGAATGTTCTTCTAGGTGCATTAAACAAAAGTACCTTTTGCTAATCTTTGCACAAATGCTGACCCACCTCCATGAATGTTTTTACTGATCTTGAATCTTTGGAACATTACTCTGCATGGCTGGAGAATGCTGTGGGGTAACTTGTTTTCTTGTCTGTTCTCTGCTAGTAGTCACACACACCATTAAAGTAGTGTATGCATAAGTTAGCATTCAAGACATCGTTTATGCTCTATTCTGTTCTGTGTTCACAACAGCATAGGGATGAAACTCAAGTTTTAATACACTGCACTGTGGTCAGCAGTTTTTGTTCAAAAGATCCCCTTTCTTAATTTCTCCTTAGATTTCGTTGCCCTCATCAACCTGAATTCCTCATTTCTGTAGACCCCAGGCTCATTTGCATTTCTCTTTAGAAGTGTGAACAAAGTCAGTGTGGTGAAGGTAACAGGCTGACACTCAGACCAACAAGAGCTGGGTTAATGTGTTTGCTGGCAACCTTATCTCATCAGTGTAAAAACATATTCAAGATTCAACATGGAGAGGGATCAGCTGTCTGTAGTCTATACAGTCTTAGTCCATAGTCTCTGCTAGGTGCCAGCAGGGGCTGACAAGCACTAACCAGTGCTGTGCACACTCTTCTGCATGGTTGATATCTTCAGTACAAGCCCCTAGAGTTGTAACTAGTGATACCTGCAACCAGCTGGAACAAAATCTACTTGGATTCCTGCAACCCTTATGTCAAAAGGAAAAAGAAAGGAACAGGAATCATTCAATCATACCAATGCCTGTTAATATTAGCTTTGGTAAAAGCACACAATAAAAATTTGCCAAGCAGAAAAAAAATAAATTTCTGTTTCCAGTGTGAGATCAGCAGCTGGGGAGGGAGAGAGGTGTTAATTTATTAAGCTAAAAAGTGTTCACATTTCTGTTTGTGCTAGGAAACTCCAGGGGCAGAGGCAGTTGCTGACTGCAGTCACACCACATGGTAGTGATTTAGAGATGTGTTAAAACACTGCAAGGTAGCAGTTATAGGACAAAAAAATATACAGATATAAGGCAGGAAAGGGATTTCACATTTCAGTCTGAAAAGATTTTATAATAAGGCATAAGGAAAAAAACCTTGGTTCTGAAAAATGACGGTGGTCTGTTTATTTTTCACATATAAGTTATGCAGAGTGAGCTTTACTTTCTTAAAGATGGAGATCATTTGTGGAGTGCAGGAATTTAAATATAGGAACTGAATTACTAGGCTGTGTACCCAGGAGGTTCTACACGGTGCTTATTGCTTCAGCTTGAGTTCTTGCCTCTACTGGAAGTGTCTGTCCCCATATGGATGCTGCAGGTGCCACTGGGGCATCTGCTTTGCACTCTGCAGCATCTCCCTTTTGTAACCATTCATTAGCCTGATGGTGATGCATGGTCTTCATGAGCATGCAGAACTCTACCAGTTCTAGGACTCATTAGTTGAATCCAGTGCAATGGAAGAGTTGGTACAAACACTAGGCAAGCAGTGCCTCACACTGTAGTCTTGAGACAGACTTCTCGGATTTCCTTGAGATCTTGTAGTGTAGCAATTGCACGGTGCTTAAACAAATCATCGTTACTGTGGTGTCATTGCTGTTCTCTGTGCGTGCCTTTTCAGTTCAGCGAGCTTCATTCTTTGCTGTTGCGGATGAAAACCACAGGCCTGTGAGTGCTGCCTCCAGTGGTGATCAGGCTGAGGACCAGCTTACTGCACAGATAAAGCCTTATACAGGGTAAGCAAGTATACCACATAAACACGCATCCTCAGTTACAAACTGAGGAAAAGAGTACAAATACCTTTGTCTGGAAGCTGTTTCTAACCTTTGTGGAACTCTTTACAAGTTCTCATGATGTTGGGAAGTGAAAACAGCAGAACTGTAAATACAGCTGAACCTTTGTGCAGGTTCCTTCTTGTCTGAGGTGTGTATGTGAGGTTGTCCAAAGCTGCGGTAACTCAAGGCGGGTGTAATGAGCAGAAGTTGAGATAAATTATGTGATGGGATGGCAGCACTTAATCATGGGTTGAGTTTGTTCTCCTCGATAATACGCTGCACATTTTCCATGTGCTGCGTTAGGTATTTTTTCTTGGTTTTGTGAATTCACCATCATGGCATACCTGAGAGTACACTTACACAGAGCAGCTTGGTACAGAGACAGGCTGTTAGATACCCAATGTGAAGATGGTAAAATCTGTGAGCACTTACTCTTGTTTCCTACTTCCAATAGTAAAGAATCTCCTCCAACTCTCGCCTCTAAAGTGGACCAACTTGAAGGTTTGCTGAAGATGCTGCAAGAAGACTTAAGGAAGGTACATTTTTGAGCTACAGAAAATTTGTAAGGCATATATTTGGTTCTGATAGGTGATACTAATTACCATGTAATTCTGCTTTGCCTTGCCTGAGCCTGTGACAGTCTTATCCTTTTGCAAGAAAATGACATTTTTTTACTACTTTTCTCAGGCTGTGCTTCCAATTATGCAAGGTGAGGGTGCAGTGCCTAAACTGTAGGCATCTGACTCCTCTGCTTAAATTAAGAGAGTGATTCTGAGTACCTACACTCCTAATTCAGGTGACTCTTAGTCCATGTAAATACATACTGCTGTGTAAATATATCCTGCCAGTGCTGAAAAGTGAGACTGTTATTGAACCATGTAATTTCTATTGTGAACACTTTCCGTGTTATGTTACTGCTTGCTTGGTCCAAGAAAGATCTGCTGTGGTTGGGTGAAAAGTCTTTTAGCTAGGGAAATATTTGCAGAAATGTGTCCTATCCTTTATTTAATTCGCCATCTGCAGTTCCATATTTTGTTCATATAGAACAGGGCATGACTGATTTCATTTCACCACTTGGAGAGGCAACCGCAGCCCTGTTATTTGAATTTGCTAATAGACAAACCCTGACAGTTCAAGCGAAAAGTGAGGAATGAAACATAACAAATCCACCTTAAATATAAGACTATCTATTACTGCATATAAAATCTTTGCACCGTGTGTGACTCGTACTCACTGAAATTCCTGCCACTTCATGTAGATAGAAAGCATGCTTCACAGTTATCACTAAGATCTGTGTTTTTCTTCATGCCCAAGGAAAAAGAGGACAAAGCCAATCTTCAGGCTGAAGTGCAACATCTGCGGGAAGACAACTTGCGGTTACAGGAGGAATCCCAGAATGCGACTGAGAAGCTGAAGAAATTCACCGAGTGGGTTTTCAACACAATTGATATGAACTGAGAGCAGTGTACGGGGAAGGAAACTATCTGTAATGAATATTAATCCTGGGACTTAAGCTTTAATGCCACCTTAATCATGACATGTGAAAGTATAGTCAGAGCACTTCCCCGTCCTCCATCCTCCAATAACCCTTTTTTGCATCTCTGCGCGCACTCCGAACAATTGCAGATCAACAATCAATGTCTGCCTTTTGTAGAAAAACAAAGTAAATAATTTTAAAGAGATAAAATAAAAGTTTAACTGCTAAAATGTGAATGTCTATTTTTTGCACATTGTTTCTTTATCTGTTACGTACAAAGCGATTTGGAGGCTGGGTCGGGCTTGCTGCTCCATCTGCCTCTGGTTCCATTATCTCCTTTCTCTCTGTTTCAGGTAATCTGCTTTTCCTTGCAGCTTTGGCAAATATTATGACATCTAGAAAATTAGAAAGAAATGTTTATTTTACTGCTTTTCTTACATTGTTTTCTGAAGTATGCCACAGACAAGGGGATGTAATGCAATGTTTTAGGTGTCTCCTTAGCAATTTGCGCTTGATTGCTAGTGCTACCTTCCCATACGTAACAGAGAGCGTGTGTCTGTAGTGTAGGTACAGTACAACCAGCATCACAACGTCTGGAGAGAGATGAGAGACCTGAGCCATGGGTGAGGCACGTTATCACACATCTATTGCATTAGCATTTCTGGTAGCCTTTGTTTCCTGTGGAAGCGACGGCTGCAAGTAACTTTACAAACAGCAAAACGAGGCATGCTGCGGTTGGTACCGTATCAGGCAGGCTGAGATACCAAGCACTGCTGCTGTACTGCTTGAGGATCGTCCCCAACCCTTCCAGGGGAGTCTGTTACTGTCCTTTGTGCAGAAGACTTAGGCTGAAGTTGTAAAGAGATTAAGATTTCCTCTACACACCTCAAAACATTTCCATGAAAATCCACGTAGGCCATCTCAGTGCACCAGCCCTCCCGTTTCATTTCTCCACTCTTCTCAAATCACTGCAGATCTGAGAAATGTTTGCTAAGCTTTTGTTCAATGACACGGGAGGTCTTTAAATCCTTTGTGGCCACGAGCAGAGGAATACGTAAAGGTGAAATTAGAGAAGTACATTTTTCCTAAGTACTGAGATAGGATTGGAGCTCTGAAATCCCCAGTTCCCAGTGAAGCTGTCTAGCGTGAGATTTCCCAAACTGCCTCATGTCAGAAAAGTTAATTTCATGTTCTTTGAAGGAACAGCCGACTTGCCACAACATATTACCTCTCCAGAAAATACCTTTTAGGTGTAGGCGCTGCAGTTTGCACGATCACTGAGCTGTGCAGTGTGCTCAGAAATCTTTTCTGTTCCATTCTGAGTACACAGTCACTACGTTAACAAATTTGCCTTGCACAAGGTGCAGCAAATTTGGAGTGAACTACAAGAACAGACCTCCCTGCCTTTACCACATTGTCAGACAGGATAAAATCATTGGGCATAGGTTTGTCACAGAAACTTCCACGCTCTTTTCAAATCCCCTTTTCATACTCTTTAATTTTGCTCCACACAAGTGCACGCTACACTCCAACCTCAAACTTCATTTGTGATGCTAATCCCCATGGAGTTCTTCTCTAATGTTTTGTCATGGAAATGGATCTCTTTGGAACTATTTCTGGAGTGCTTTTGTAAAGGTTTAGAATGTCTTGGGTTTTTTAATGACTTGTATGAAGGAGATTTATATAATGCCTGATATAATTTGTAAATGGGAAATATTGCTAACATCTCTGAGCATCCTGAAGTCTTGCTTTTATTCTCTTTTATTTTTAAGTTTGGGTTTTATTTTATTTCAAAAAATATTTTGGGACTTGGGGCAGACTATTTATTAGAGTTTTGCAACAGAGTTCTTCTTGTATGATGCCACTGAAGGCTACTTGTAAAATTCTGACAATAAAACTCATTTTAAAGGCTCTTCTAAACCATTTTCTTCTGATTTTGTTGGCTTTGTTGTTCCGAACTTTCCAGAGTACTCATTTCTTCCTGCTTCCTTCTTGTACCTCTTAACTGAGCGCTTGGGGATGGAAGGGTTTTGTTCTCTAGTTTTTCCTTTTTATCCCCCGGCAGGCCTTTATTTGGTTATGTACATGCACACTTTGTCTGCTGACGTTTTGCTTATGTTACTGCACAGATTCTTTCCCCATTTGCCTTTGTCTGTATAGCTGAGTTTTGTAACCTGTAACAGCTCCCTGGTCTTTACCAGGCGAATAAAGGATGGGCAGGGTTTTGGTTTTTATTTATGATTCATTACTTCTCAAGATTCTAGTATTTATGGAAATGGAAGCCAGTTTAGGTGAAACCAGCCTGGCACGCCTGGATGGGGGCTCACTCAGCTTTCAGCATCCCAGAGCCAAATCTGTAAGCACTGAACATCAAGTCTAGGGAGGTCAGGTGTTCCCTTTGTTTTGTTTTCCAGATCTTATTCTTTGACTCAGGGAATAATCTTAAATGTATTCTTAACTGACGTTTCTCAGCCCCGTGAATGAGTGTTCTGCACAGCAAAAAAAAAAAGCGGAGCTGGATTCCTGCAGGTGGAAGAGCTGCCCTGCCCACAGCCATAAGTAACATACACTGGTGGTTCCCACGCTTCACCTTGCAGGGTAGGTCGGGCTGGGCACCGGCACACCCTGACTTGCAGACATCTGCAGCCCGGGGCAGCTGCTGCCTGGGCAGGGGGATGTGAGAGCAGCGTGGAGCAGGGGCTGCCCTCCTTTTCTGCACCCTGGGTGATGGTTTTGCAGAAGAGCAGTGAAGCAGGTGTGGGTATGAGGTCAGAGGGTGTAGAGCTGTGGTGAGGTGAGCTGGGGCACGCAGGAGGTGGAACTGAGAGGAGAGGATGGTGGAAGGACACAGGGTGGTCAGCTGGGTGTAGGGGAGGTGCGCTGTGCGATGAAATGCGGTGCACTGAGGCTTTACTCCTCCAGAAGTGTGGTATTGCACTGTATTGCACTGTGCTTTCTATAGAAAGCTGAGATGTGTTCCAGACCTGCTGGATAGGTATTGTAAGACAGCCTTTTTTTCCCCAGCTTTTCCCTTTGTGGGAAAGGGCACAGCAAATTTTCCCCATGAAACCAGGCACAGTGTGGGGGCTGATTTGTTTTATAAGAACCTTTACATAATCCTTCTCTCATCTCCCAGTGGTTAACAAATCCTCCTCCGAGGTGTTCTGCTGTCTCCTAGCAGACACCCCAGTATGGTGACAGCCCTGTATGTGAGCAACTTGCTCTGCTGCAAGACAGCAGGGAACAGGGGCAGAAGCTGTTTACAGCTCGCATGGCACCTAAATTTGGGTTCCCTGGGTGAGAGGGGATGCTGTCTGTCCTCCACTGCTACCTTACAGCAGGCTTGGGCCTTGCTGAGGTGGTTCCTAATGGGCAGGAGCATGATGAAGATATTGTGAAGGTCCCTCAGCTCTAAGCTATGGTGAGGAAATCCTTGCTATGCTGCTGGTGAGGTGAAGCTGGTGAGGAAAGGAGGTAGAAATAGAAATACTTACTTCAGAGCTCTTCAGCAACAGCCACTTTTCCTTGCAGGGGCTTCAGCTTTGGCTGGAAGCAAGGCTAAAGACTGTCAAGGCCAATCTGCATCTTCTTTGCATCTTACACCCCAAGCTGAGTTTGCTTAACAGGAGCTGGGAGCTCGGCTGATAAGTCGCCTGTACGGGAGGCTGTGCTGTGCCCAGAGAGCCGTGTGCCAGAGATAACGTGCAGCAGAAGCAGGTGCTCGCCTGGCACTACCTCACTTGTGGGTTTTGGCTGTGCCTGCAGAGCTCAGCACAGCGTCTCACGCTTCCGCGCTGCACAGACTGAGGCCTGGGGACGCTTTGGTTCATTTCCTCCCTGACCCACCGCATCTGATCGTAACAGTGAGATAACATAAATGCAGGTGAGGCCATCTTTAACGTTCTTTGCAGAGTGCCCTTAACATTCCATTGAAGAGGTTGCATTTTTCAAGATGAGCACAGACATCTGATGGGCGCTGCTCTCCCAGCCGCTGTGCCGCCCCAGCCAGAGACCTCGCAGTGCTGCTGGCGGCCTGAGGGCTGCGATTCGCTCACAGCTACCTTGGCCTGAAAGCAGCACTGAAACCAGCCTTGGTTCCAGAGTTCTGCCCTGACTTTCCAGCTGGTTCTCTCAGCTGATGTTCCCCACCCAATACCTGTGCTTGATTTAACTGCAGCTTATTTAAGGAGTCGAATGTTGTTGAAGGCACAGAGACCCATTGTGGAAGGGTTTTTCTTTGGTTCTGCTTCATTTCCTAGATATCTTGCTGTAGTGATGGAGTTAAAGATGTATTGATTGTCAGATATCTCATAGCACCAAAGAGTGATGACTTGCAAACAAACATGTCTCCTTCTATTGCAATTACAATATATTAACTGAAATACATATAGCTGTACATAGTTGAAAAACAAATGTTCTCATTCTTATGTCAGAAAATGCTGGATGCTTTTTTTCTTCTTTTTCCTTTTTTTCTTTTTTTAAATTGGATTAATTTGCACCCCTGATGTCAATTCACACAGAAACTTAGTACAAGGGAGAACCTTATGATTTTTTCAGTTAAAAAGAATAACATGAAGTGACATTCAGTGACCAATATTTTTTAAGAACTTAATTTCAGCTTAAAACCAGAAGGTATTACTTTCCTGTGGTTAATCGAAGCAACAGTTCCAGGATCCAAGATCCCTTAGCTTCTGGGATTGCTAAAATTGTATTTATTTTAACCTAGAATAGAAGAAGAGGGGGACAGCCTTTCCTCTTCAGTTTCCCATTGGTCTCCCAGCTTTACATAGAGCACACTAACTGGAAAACCAAAATAAAGGAAATATGTTCTGTACCCATTCAAAGGGCACCTATTGCCAAGAGAATGCTGTAGAGCTTACCCTGACGTTCTCCATTCTGTTCCCTATTCCTTCCCAAAGTGTTCCTGACACTTCATTTTCTGCTACCAAACATAAGCTGAGCTGACCTTATTCCTAAGAGCCAGCTCAAGAGCCCATCTTGACGTAATGAGGTCAGCGCTGCTTCTCCCATGTCCATTATTTTGAGTTTCTAGGTTGCAGGTTATCTACTCTTTTCTCACCTTGTCACTTGGTAGCATATGGTTGTTCCTCAGCTCTCCACAGATATCCCTTGTGGTTTTACTCAGCATATCCTCATGCCACCATAAGGTTTCTCACTTCCACTACCCATTCATTTTCCAGGTAATTTACCAAGTCCACTGAGCATCACAGCCTCC